GAAAAATGTCAGAAGATATGCCAGATAGAATGTCAGAAGGTATGCCAGATAAAGTGCCAGAATGTTTGCCAGATAGGATGCCAGAAGATTTGCCAGATAATATGCCAGAAGATATGCCAGAAGATATGCCAGATCGAATGCCAGAAGATATGCCAGAACATATGCCAGAAGATATGCCAGGTAGAATGCCAGAAGATATGCCAGATAGAATGCCAGATAGAATGCCAGAAGGTATGCCAGATAGAATGCCAGATAAAATGTCAGATAGAATGCCAGAAGATTTGCCAGTAACAAAATGTATAAATGTCATGGTGGGGATCACACGAAGTAAAGTAATTATTTTTGAACCCCAAATTAAGGCAGGTGGAAATGAATGGGCTTGAGCAACTTAGTACATCGACATTATTATTAATAATATTAGTATTATTATCAATTATCAATTTAAAGGCTTGAAAATCAATGGTAGGGGCCCATGTATGCTGTTCGGGTATTTCCCTTTAGGAGGTCTATCCCAGGTGGGTACCACAGCTACAATCCCATGAAGATTTATTTCAAACCCAATGCTAAGCCTGATCCAATGCTGATAAGATTCAAGATGTGTTGGATGGACACTTTTTCCAGAAATTGGGAAGCGATCTTCCCCTCAGCCTCAGTTTGTGGCCAAAGTCAAAGGGTTACCCCCATAAAATGAAGCAGGGTTAACTGGCATTTACCCAAGAGGGTTTCCCTAGTAGCTAAGGTTTGTTGGTTTTGGTTTATTTGTTTTAAAGCGATCAAAAACCAAGAAACTTTTCCGCGTCGCTCCACAGAGATTTCTTCCTTAGGAAGGAGCAGGGCAGGCAAAGGAATTTAACTAGGGGATAAAATTTGAATGGCTGAATAGCTTTCAATATTGAGTTCGGTGATTGAGCTTGACCTTTTCAAGTTTCTTCTTGCAAAAAAAGTAGCCATCACCAGCATTATCGAATGAAGGTGTAGGACAACTTTCGATAACGGGCTTCTCAAGCTTTCAAACCTGGCGGTTGACAATGAAAAGTAAAGGAACCTGTCATAAATAAAAACTGTTCTAAATTTGTAGCTCAAAAATCAACTAGGCGTCCGAACCGATGTTTGGCAGCTGACATAGACTTGCACTTCCATCCCTGGTTTTCTGCCACCTTTTTCGAGAATCTTTCCTGCCCGGAGATAGAGGGTAAACTTTTGAAAAACATGTAGTAGTCTTTTATTGCAATGACTTGCGGTGACATTTACATACACCCCTTAGGCGCACAAACACCACCCATCACTTTTCTGGCCACCCATGTCACTGTAAGTAGCTGTACGCCTGCGGCAATCACCACGGCTTAGTTTTAATTGTCCTATTGTACGGCAAATCGCCCCAAAGCACCCGGGGTTAGATCAAAACAAAGAAGCATTGGACCGGCGCAACTTCCCAGTGCCAGCACTACTGCCAGCGCTACTGCCCTGCCCCAACATCACTGGCTGAGAGACTTCCTGGCCCGCACTGTCATCATCACTGTGAAAGTCATTCATGTAGAGGGTACGCTGAGAATCCGAAAAGTATTCATCATCATCCTGGGTGTCATTCAGCCCCTGGCCCCAGTCATCTTCATACACCTCCCGGGGTGGGTCATCGGGAATTTCAATCAAAGGAACTTCTGACTTGTCAAAGCAACCAGCGTTCACATCAGCCAAAATGTCACGTTCAAGTTCAAGCTGTTCAATATCGAAGGGGCAATGAGGTTCCCATTCCTGGCTCCAGTCCTCCTGAGAACTAGGTGGCTGGTTGGTAAGTTGGTGAGGCTTGACCCGCTTCTCAAACTGTGTCTTGATCACACCTTTGTTCTTCAAGGAGTCCAGCAAAAGAGGCCTTGGCTAGTGTACAATAGACTAAACAAGAATGGCCCATACCTAATTAATCCCAGACAAAATCAAATGAACAATGACTTCAAATAATAAAAAATAACTTGGGCATTTTACCAAGTAGCATTGCCAAAATGAAACGATGGCACAGCAACCAACAACGCAAACTATCCCCCAGATTCTTGAACCCCAAAAAGCTCCGCCACAGATTGTTTTGCCGATACTTTTCCACACAAAATTAAACTGAAACACCAAGCACCCAGCTCAGCATCAACATTCCCGTGCCTTGAAAAATACGGAGTTCTCAATCAGTCGTGTCGGACTTGTCTTGGAAGAAACAAACATGTCGAGCCTTAGCTGGCAAGTTGGGAAACAATCGTTAAAAAAACACTGAGGCCACCTTTTATTTCCCACTGTTGAGATTGAGAACTTGTCCAAATCTGCAATCCCCAAAAACAAAATGCCCGCTCAGTCAAACAACGTCTCTTTCATGAAATCATCGGCGTAAATGGGGCGCTGACCTATCCTGACATCGAGACGGTGTGATATTTCAAGATTTTTTTTTTGACTGTGAAAATCATGTTTTTCTTTCTAAAAGGGACACATGTGTCAACCCCCTTCCTACTTTGGTTTTCACAACAAATACTTGGATGTTCATCCCCCACAACATGGCCCTGCAGGTCCATCAGGCCTTCTCACAGCATGTGCAAGATCCTGCACGCGAATTTTGATGTTCTCGAAGTAGGGCTCCTCGCCATCCCCGAAATCAAAGGCTCCAGCCAAACACTCCTGAGGCTCAAGGAAGTAGCAGGGACGTTAACCAATGATAATTTGCCACCCAAAAAAACATTTTTTAAAAATATAAGTTTGTCGTAACCTTCATTCTCTGACATCAGTAATTTGACCCCACGCCAGAAACAACGCCTAGATTCTAGAGCACGTTGCTCGTCACGCGCCGCATCAGCTGCTAAACATTCAGTCTTAGTCTTCAATATCTTCTCAAAGCCAGGATACTGGGACCTAAGATCAAGGGGGTTGCCATAGAGCAGGAACACTGGCGTTGTTGTCATAAAATCAAACCACAGTGAAATCGGTTGGAGAACATTGGAAAATTATGGCAAAATCAAACATGAAATTGAATCGTTCAAGAAACCGTTCTTGTTTCGAATATGGCATCCGGGAACTGGGGCATGCAAATTCGCGCAATATCTTCTGTGTTGCTTCCGATATCTTCTTAGCATGGGTCTGTAGAAGTTCTGCAATGTTGTATACCCCAAGAACACCTGCATTTGGTGTCAAACTTTCACAACAACTGCCATACCGGATGCAAAGCCATCCGGCTGATGCATCCTGCATCAGTGAAATGGATTCCGAATCCATCCTGAGATGCACACAACAGAAAAGGTTACCCATGAAAAAATACACAGTCAAACTACTACTCTGTTCAAACTTCCAAATTGCAAATGAGATTCAAGCATGCAATCGTCATTTTGCGGGCTGCCTCCCCCAAACAGGCCTTCATTTTTCGAAGTTTGACACGTCCCTTAGCTATCATGAAACCCCCAAAAAAACTACTGTATGTCAAATGACTTCCAGGTAAATGCAAGGCCAGTATTTCCACCTGTCTATTTCAATCAAGATGCAAAGCGGCCTTCCTCTGCTGAGTGGTTGGCCTTCGAAGTTCTGGTCCTAGGCAGTGGCGTTAGTTTGGCAGCCACTATTTCCCAACATAACTAATCCGGCACTTTTAAACATTGGTAGCTTAGTTAGCCGAGAATCAAAACGGTACGGAATAGATCTGCTGCAGGAACCTTATTAACCAGGCAGTGATAACGAAACATCCGTCATACCTCATGTGAATCAAACATTGCATTGTCAAGGAACTATTTTCCCATCAACCAATGGCACATGGGTCCCAATTCCAGTTTGCTTCGCAATCGCAAGCTTGTGTTGACGAGTGTTGGCATGTTGTTCCAAGGATTGTTGGCGAACCAAAGCCTTGGTAGGAGGAACTTTCATGTTTCCGCAAAGTTAGTCAACGTCTTAGCAAAAACTAAACCCATTTTCCAAACACGGTAAATGTTGACAGAATTTTGATCAAGTAACTCTGCGGCATGCTTTGAACTTTGCCCATACTCCACCTACACCAGCCTTTTGGCAAATGTTGCATCCCAGGCCTCTCTGGGAGATAGAAACCCAAGGATACTGTTCGCTCCAATCACGCCAATGCTTCAAAACATGGGCGTTCCATTCCTTAGGGCAACAGTGAGGGTTTGAGTTTCAGACCTAAACAGCCACCTTAAGAACTATGCCTACCATAGCTCAAAAACTTGGAATTGAACATTATGTTCCAAAATCATATGTAATTCTGTTGTTGATGTCACCGCAAAATAGGCCGGTGGAGTTTCCAAAAACCATAACTGCCTAGTCTCGAATTGGATAATCTTTGGGGGGAACGCCAAGCGTCAACATAGGCACAGCTGGACAAGCGCACCATTGCACTACGCAGTCCCCACGCAAACTGATGGTTTCTATTCACGTGCCTGAAAAAAAATGCCATTCTTAATTTAATTCAACTGAATAATTTTTTCTGCAAAACAATTGTTCCTAAAAAATGATTTTAAAAAAAAAACTAAACAAATTAAAAGCGCTAGGAAGTGTTTTAAGACGTTGGGTTATTCGAAAAGGTTTGGCCCTGACGCGACCATAGTGTTTGGGCAAAATGCCTTGCAGGGGCCCGGATGCCCAAAGTCAACAAAGCATGGGCTGAACCAGAGTTGGACTGCACCAAGCGGTCAGAATCATAAGGGCACCAACACTTTGCATCAAATTGGTATTTTCCTACTGGATTGTTTTATGGGTTGAAAGTTTGTAGGCTGATGAACCTCTAAAAGATAGTATCGCTTTCAGATTGCCAAATACTTTTTGAGTTTATGGGATTCATGGGCCATGCCCATTTAAAATTGTTGTTCATACTAATTAATATTAACTTATTAAGTGTTCGACAAATGTAATATATCACTGACACGAAGCATATTACAAAAATACCCCTTGTATCCTTAATTTAATGATGGACAATTACTATCAAAATGGATGATTCGGGGGCACCCACATTTTAGGAAACCTCCATGTTTTTTTTACACCAACTCACCATCACCAACTGCCATTGAGGTCGTGGCTGGTGCAGAGCACAGCCCAGCGGCACTGCAGGGCGGATGGCCCTGCACTTCCCCCCCCACCCCCCACCCCCCACCCCCCCACCTAAACCCCACCTAAACGATTCGAGGCGGATAGACAATAATAACGATTCTATTAAAATGAGCAACGATTCTTAAGATTTGAATAACTTATCAGGAGTACAGGATAGATTCACAACTATAACAATTCTATGAGTGCCGGGGTTAACATTTATCCAAACTACCAACGAGATAACCCATGTCATCTAATCTGATTGTAGGTTCCTCAGCAAAATTAGTAGAAATTCCATTTGATTATTTGATTATTTTAAAAGCAGCCCAGTCGTCAACCCCTTTCGGCAATGCGTGTAAGGAAGCTCCAGCAAGGTGGGGCGCAATCTCGGCCAGCGCCTCTCCGCGGACGAGCAGCTTCACAACATCGGCAAGCTGGACAGCCATCTCGTCTCCATGAGGGGAAGCGAGGGCCTCGCGAAGGTGGTCACCTCGAAGGCCAGTGGGGCCCGCGCCACTCCCACGGCTGAAGGAGCGGATGGCCTGGATGACGTCCTCCACCGCCAGCTCGGGCACAGCAGCTAAGGCAGGCAGCCCTAGAGCGACGAGAGCCGGGCGGGCAGGGGCGGCGCGGGGGTGTTTGGCTTGCAGCTTGGAAACAACATCAGTCGTGTTGTCCAAGAGTGGCGGAGACACCAGGGCAGCACAGGCACGTGAGAGCTCCCCTTCAGCGGCCAAGGCACAGCATCGGGCCTGCCTGGCAGCCTGCGCTGCCTCTTCATCATCGTCCCGAGGCCGGCGACGGCGAGGACCGGGCAAGTCTCCCCAAAGTTCCTCGCGCTCACCAGCCAGCCATCTGGCACAGCGCCGCTGGGTGAACTGCGCGGCCTGGAGGCGGTGCCGGCGCCCTCCACGTGGAGCAGGGTGGAGCACCGCCTTGGGGAGCATGAAGAAGTCCCGCCACGCTTGCGAGGTGTTGTTGCCTGCCGCTTGCCCAAGGGCGCGAGAAAGGCATTGTGCCCAAGCGGCTCGCGCAGCTTTGGGGACATGCCGGAGGACTGGGGCAGGCTCAGCGAAGACGGCTTCAATGGACGGCCCAGGCAGTGCCAGGCCTGCGGCAGGGACTGGCACGACAGCTCGGCGAGCTGCTGGCCGACAGCGTGGGTGCGCACCATTGAAGCGGGATGCCACTAACCCCCCACAAACCGAGCACAGGTCAAGGTGATGGCGAGCCCGATAGGCCTGGGGGACTTCCCCTTCCAAGGTGCCAGCGGCGTGATCTTCGAGGTGCGGTCGCATGGCTGCGTGGGAGGTCCAGCCACGGCCAGACGAAGCAGCGGCGGGGCACCCTGGAACAGGGCAGAAAACCCGCTCAGTCCGGCGAGCTGCCGGCGGGGATCGCTCACGCGACCCTGGCCCAGAGGCATCAACCACCATAGGTTGCCGCTCGCCGCCGACAGGGGTGCCAGGGGCTGGAGGCCCTGGATTTGATGCCTCCCCCACACGGATCCCGATGAAGCCAGTGCGGCGGCGTAGTCGCCGGCGGACCCTTCCACGGCCTCGGCGGGGCACCCAGCAAGCCCGGCGCCGGCGCCAGCGGATGGAAGGGAGCATTGGATCAAGGGGCAGCGCAGAGCAGGCCCATGCCTGCAAGAGGATGGAGGTGAGCTGGCGCCGCTGATAGTGACTGGCTCGGCCGAGTGGTTGATGCCGACGTTCCGGCAATGGTATGCCGCCAGGGGCAAAGGTCGACTGGCCGATGGTTGGCAAAGGATGAGGGCAAGAGAGCAGGGACAGAGCCACTAGCCGGGGCAGCGCCCAAAGGAGGAGCACGCCGCAGGAAGCCATGGCGGGCCGCTGCTGGGCGGTGCAAGCAAGCAGAGGGGGCACACAGAGGTGCTCACACTTGAGGCCCACGGCACCGCTTGCCTGCACCCCCGAGCAACAGCCTTACAAAAGATCGTCCTCATCTGAAATTGCTGAGAAACGGCTTCCTTGAGCCAAAATGGCTACGTTGAAGTCATCTGACAAGTTAGGAGAATCCCTGTTGATGTTTTCTCGATGCCCTGAAGTGGGTATGGCTCAAAGCGCAGATGCTTTTCACAGAACCCACTGGTGTTTATCTGGTTGGTGGTTTCAACCCCTCTGAAAAATATTAGTCAGTTGGGATGATTATTCCCAATATATGGACAAATAAAAGCCATGTTCCAAACCACCAATCAGTTTTATGATTTTATATGGATGTTGAGATGTTCTCATCATTCCCATGGTCCCCATGATTTTTGTCCAAAAAATGTCCCATTTCCATCGAGGCCGAGGCAATGCCGCTGAGGCCGTTGAGATCGGTGTTGATCTTCAATCCTTTGAGCCTGTGCCATTGACCCTGGATCTCCCTGGGTTCACCCCAGGTACAAGTAAAATGGATAAATCAAGGATAAATCAAGGATAAATCAAGGGGTCAAACGTGGTCAATTTGATGCAATTTCTATCAATTTCTCCCCTGGTCAATATCTAATTTAGGCATTTGAGAGATATTTCAGGCACCTACAAGTTGGAGTTACCTAAACTATCCGAGGTCATGCAAGGTCTATATGAGGCGGCCGAAAAGTGCCTTCGAATATCACCCCAAACTCTGGCCTTCTATGGCACGTATCAGGTTCCTAGAGCCACTGAGCCTGGCCCTGGCAAGAATCTGGTCATCCTAAAGCAACACTGGAAATTTGTAGAGCCTGGGCAGCCTGGGTTAAGTATTGACAGTGCTACAACCATCGTATGGACCCAGATACAGGTAAGGCCTGATGTTGAAAAAGCTATTGTGCACTGCTTCTACTGTTGGCAGGAATTTCTCATAGTGATGAACTTTCTCGATAATATGATGCAAACTGGAGTATAGACCACCAACACTGCTGAGGATTTTTGCCACGTTTCAGGTAATTTGTAAATCTGAGGAAGCGCTTGTGATGCATCTGTGAATTGATGGGGGTGGGTCGGTTTTGTTTTTATGTTTGCAGCTTTTCATTTTTTGAGATGTTTTTTCCCGGTAATTATATTTTGCAACATGTTTTTCAACATAAAACCAAAAATGAATAAAAAATCAACATAGCAAGTTCCTTGTTAAAACCCCATTAGAACATACTGTAGCAGCAGCACCCAAACAATTTTTGAAGGGGCTAGCCCATGAGCAACATTGATCTTCAATAGTATGTTTGTTGTGCGGGTCCTTTATTTTGTCCAGCTTTTTTCTTGGCTGAACAGTTTCATAAATCCTTCTATTTGTTCCTTTCCTTTAGCTTTTCTCTCTTACTTACTTAGCTCCATTCTTCTGGATGTCTCAAGATGTTTAATTTCCCAAAATATAGGATGCCGTGTTAAATCCCTATTTAAAAACAGCACCCAAACAATCTTTCAAGGGGGTAGCCCATGAGCAGCATTGATCTTCAATAGTATGTTGTGGGGGTCCTCTATTGTGTCAAGTTTTTTTTATGTGAACATGTTCAAACATTTCTGTATCTTGTCCTTTCCTTCCGTTTTTCTCTCTTACTTTCTTAGCTCCATTCTTCCGGAAATCAATTGAAAATCAATTGAAAGCAAATTGAACATCAATTGAAAATCAATTGAGCGTAAATTGAAATCAATTGAAAATCAACTGAAAGTACTTTGAAATCAATTGAACATCAATTGAAATCAGTTGAAAATCAATTGAAATCAATTGAAAATCAACTGAAAGTACTTTGAAATCAATTGAAAATCAATTGAAATCAATTGATTCAACATTATTCAGGCCCCGACCCTTCAAAAGTGACTAGCCTAAAGAGACACCTTCAAATGTTTAGGGAGGGGCCTTACACTAATCAGGATCCAACATTATTCTCGATGGCTAAATTGCCCATGTTTAATCATTTTGATATGTTCAACCCTGCTATTTTCCTTCCCTTAAGATTTCTCCGTAAATTCCCATGAAAAATCGCCATCGACCCTCACCTCACACAGCAGTAGGGCGGAAACTTGGCGAGCTCAGCCAAGACCTCTTCAGTCGCCTGAAGGAAACATCTCCGTTTTGACCATAGGAAACCTAAAGGCATCCTAAAGGCTTTCACCTGTTTTTAAAGCCCAATATAGTTTAGTTATGTTTAGTTTGTTCCTATAAAAACTCTAATGTTAATGCATCCAATACTGGATGGATATATCATGATGTTGATATATAGTAATTATCGTTAATTAAAACGAGATGGGATGAACAGTACAAGACAGTATCGGATGAACAACTTGTCTTGCAAATGGAATGAATAAGAAAAACAATGTCCACATCCCATTCACGATCCCACCGCCCAAATCCCAGACAAAATAAATAATCCCCGCACAATTTATTGGACTCCAACCGGTTTTCGTGGTAGTTTTTGGGTGAGTTTTCATTTTTCTGGGGGGTGGTGATCTTTTTATTCTATGAATAATTATATTGAGAAGTTTCCAGGCTAAACCCTCCCCAAATTCTTTATCTGAATGTCAAACTTCCCAGATCTGAATCACTGAATGCATGGATTTCTGTCTAATTCCCTTATAGTCTTGTTTCAAAAAGACAAAACACAACAAACTCGCAAAGTGGTAGCCTTGAACCGCTCCGGAACCACACTAAAAAAACTGTTTAACCCCATAAATACAGTCACTGAATTTCCCTGTGGCAGTTTGTGGTGAAAATATCCTTGGCTTTCTGAATCAACCCTCTTCATAAAGCTTTCCATGAAACTTATGTATATTGGTTTCGATTAGGCATTTTGTTCGGCCATACTGCAAGGGTCCCGACATGACAATATGTATTCTTTTTGCATTAGGCAATTTGTTCAACAACATTTAAATGGCAAGGTGAACTTATGTATTCGTTTTCAATTAGGCAATCTGCAGGGTCCCACAATGACACCTATGTAACTATGTATTTGTTTTCAATTAGGCAATTTGTTCATCAGTGCACACATGCTAAAGATTTTCAGGGTCCCCAGAAGTTTGTTTGGCCTCAACTTTATTTGGAATACGATGTTAATGATATTGTTGGAGGAGGGTTATGAATCAGATGTAGACATTGGTTATGAGTCATTTCAGTTGCTTACATCCCACACTAACCGATTTTCTTCATCGCTGCTGTCCTGCGCACTTGGGGGCGGCGCGACCGTGCGCTCTGGTGGTGCTTTGCCCGCACTGTGGCTGCGGCGCGCCTTACAGGGCAGTGATTTAAGGGCGAAACATGGGAAACACACCAGGAGTTTGATGGTGTTTGCCAGTTTTTTTTAATTCAATACCATGATATACTGTTCTTATGGTCAAATAAGTATGTGTGGGATTAAGGAGGTATCGTGTAAATGTTCATTCATAGAATATGGTAGATTTTTTCTGAAACCCAAGTCTGGGATTAAGAGACATCAGCACATCACAACAAAATATCCAAACATACAAAAGCGAGCTCGAGGATCAGAAGGATGCATATTGGGAAGAAACAAACTTATGATTTTTGAGGTCCTTTTTCTGATCCAACATCAAAGATATGCAATACATGCCATAGCTGGCAAAACGTAAAAACTGAGAACTTAATGTCTTGATGCCGTTGTAAAACATGCACATGGTCACACAACAAAAATACGAAAAATTGACGAACAAAAACAAGATCATTCCATCTCATTCCAACAGCGTTGCTTTGAGAGAAGTCGCCTACCCGTGACACTGGGCACATGAACATAATCACAATATCTGTACGAGGCACTCTTTTTTTTTTCATGTGTTTTTCAAAAGTCATGGGTTCCTGGGCAAAAGTCTAATCCTTTCCGACTTTCCGGGCCTTTTTCCTCTGCGACGAAGAAGCTTTCCTGAAGGCAGATCACTGAAGCCACAGCAATGTAAAGGGAACCATAAACCTAATTTATAAGTATATACTAGATCAATCTAGTAGATTTCTGCTCCATTTTTGCATCATACCCTTGAGGTTATCTTGAATCCAACAGGATTGAAGTGAGTTTTTGGGACATTCCTTGTGCCCTCTACACCTCCCCGAGATGGCCTCGCCGGTTTGCTGCGACTGCGACTGCGCCTGGGCGCTATCGAATGGAAACACCCAAATGCAGCCAGAATGGGATAAGAAACACCATTACAAATCTTAAAATGTGCCTTAAGTTGCAACATCATAAAAATTGTTGAGCTCAGAGAGGTACCCCTCATGTTCACATATGTTCACATAACATCTCTTACCACATATTTTGACCACATAACTTTTACTATCTTTTACTGTCAAAAGAAGGGCACCGGAGCTGCCTTCTGCTGCGGTTCTTCGGAGCGGCCTTGCGGCCTCGGATTTCAATGAATCCATATGTGTTTTCAGTCTTTTCCCCATTGTAAAAAATGTCATCCTGGTGGAAAAAAAATCAGATCTACAATTTTCAGACACACCCAAATGGCCTGAAATGGATTGAAATGGAAGTTCTCCATCTTTAATCTTTAGCATCAAACTTGCCATTTTGTGGTAATTACTATCCCATCTTGAGCAACTACCAGCCATCAAAGCTTTATATCATATGATCATATGTAAAAAACATGTAAAAACCATGATCTACTTTACCAATCTTTACCCCCATATTTTCACCCTCATCCATCAGTATCCATCTCCACCATCCCCCTACAACGTCACAACTTGTCACAACCGTTGCCACCACGGCGCTCTTCGATCTGGACCGCGGTCTTCGGCTGCGCGACCGCCGCGACTGCGACCGCCGCCGCGAGCGCTGCGAGCGCCGCGACCGCGACCGCGGTGGTGACTTCCGGAGGGTCCGGGAGCGCCGCGGAGGGTCCGGCGTTCGTCGCGGGGAACGGCCTGAGACAAGGGGCTTTTGGGGTTTCAATCAGCAAAAAAGGCAACAAAAATGGTGGTTCAACTGGCAAAATATATCAAACAATGATGACACGCGCAGCGGAAAACCTGCGAAAATTGGTTCAAATCATCAATGATGTTGATATCACCATGTACTTCTTGATTTTTCAATAGATAATGATTTTCCATGGCTTGGTTTACCAGTCAGTAGGTGCAGGTGTGGCAGTTAGAGGCTTTGCGCAGCCGGAAACTCTCCTGACAGATCAAACTTTTGTGAATGGCAAAAAGAAACCACAGCTTCGAAACCTGTCAGTTAGTTGGGGGCACGAGTACCTGGATGCTGTGAAACCTTGCAGGTAAAAACAGTAGTTTAAAATGTTTAAGTTTAGGGTATAGTGCTAAGTCTATAATGGGCAGAGGCAAATCTAACTGTGGCAGAATCCATGCCCTGTGGGGTGTCTGATAATGTCTAGTGCTTTGTATTCCAGTACGTAAAGTACCCAAATGCAAGAAAGTCAAAGTTACTGTATAATATTATATATAAAATATTGATCCCAGAAAGCGGTTGGAACACAACCAAAGTTGATCTTCAACCAAAAATCTGCAGCAGGGCACTTTCACCCTAGACTTCGAATTTCAATCTACAATATCATACAATTCCAGCTCTCACTCTTCAAACCGACCTCCTTCAAGAAGTCGACAGTAAACTCCACTCCCGAAAGGTGTGAAACAACTCACATTCAGGTATAGGTTAAACCGAGGTGCTCTGCTAACGAATGCATCAACGAATTTGCCATGTAAAAATCTGTGTACATAGTATTGAATCATGCATCTGATCAGCCAGTCTTGCAGCATCTCCAAGCCCACCAATTGGGGCCCCTGGCGTCGGCTTCTCCGCCTTTTGTCGAAGTGTCAAAAATATTAGTCAACGCATACGTCAACATATTATATATCTGGTTGGTGGTTTCAACCCCTCTGAAAATATGTCATGATAATCCTGGAAACACGGTCGTATAATACTATATTGCAACCTGTTTTTGGCATCATCCTTAGACAATAACCTGCCAATGGTAGTACAGGTTACAACCCCTGTAATGACAATATCAATCAATCATGGCAATCACAATACTTTGACCAATCATAGTATAACAAAAAAACAACTAGTCATACAAATCACAATTGCCAAAACGATCCTAATCGTCAAAATCATCATAAGCATCAAAAGAATCATAACCATCATGACCAAAATAATCATGATCATCAAGTGGTCAACAGAATCTTAAGAATCATCATCAAAAACTAACCATAAAAATCCATAAAACATCAGCATCATCAACAGACAACTTGGAAAAAAATCTTCCTAGGTTGGCGCCTGCTCGGGCTCTGCCGACGCCTTGGACTCCGACTGCGACGAGGTCGACTCCGGCTGCGACCTGAGCAGCTACAAAAACATGGTGAAACTCAGCTGGTTTGTTTCACATTGTTGAAATACATTGTGCCGGTAGCATTTTTAGAAATGTAAATAATGTACATATGTACTGTATGTGTGTATATGATTGTATATGTATCTAGTCCTTCCATTCAACACTCGTTCCTATCATTCATAATCAGATGGAATTCGTACTGACTGCTCGTGCCCAGCCCATTGCTTTTGTAATCACATGGTTTAAAGACATGTAAATGTAGTATTTATGTATGTATGCAAGCATGTATGTATGCAAGCATGTATGTATAGTAATTGTATTGTAGAGTACAGTACTGTACTGTATTGCGTGTATTGTATGTATTGTAGGTATTGTTTGTTTGTTTGATTGTATGTTTGTTTGTATGAATGAATGTATGTATGTATGCATGTATGCATGTATGCATGTATGCAATGCATGTGGATATATAACAAATAATGATTTTATGTACTGTATGTACTGTATGTACTGTATGTACTGTATGTACTGTATGTACTGTATGTACTGTATGTACTGTATGTACTGTATGTACTGTATGTACTGTATGTACTGTATGTACTGTATGTACTGTATGTAATGTATGTAATGTATGTAATGTATGTAATGTATGTACTGTATGTACTGTATGTACTGTATGTACTGTATGTACTGTATGTACTGTATGTACTGTATGTACTGTATGTACTGTATGTTGTGTGATGTAATGTTATGATATGTGACGTTATGTTATGTGATGTTATTGTTTGATATTCTATGTAATGTATGTGATGTATGTAGTTGTAATGTATTGTAATGTATGTTATGTAATTGTATATGTAATGTATGTAATTGTATTCAACCCCTTTTCCCGGAAATTGATCATAATCAGATTGGGTTCATACTGACAGCTCATGTCAAACCCATCGCTTTTGTAATCATTGGAAGGACCTCTGTTTCCTGCAGTGCGCACCATATGTTCAAAATTTCACGTTTTGAATTACCACAGGGTGCCGATATCTCCCCATGGTGTTCAATTGCATTGTTTTCTGGCCTCAAATGCTCATTACCCATTACAGTACATACATTATATACATCCACTGACCAAAGTTTATTCAGATACATCCTGTACTATGGGTTTGTCCGGTGTTATACAACCCACCAAATGCCAAAAAATGCCATGGTACAATGATATATAACCCGTTTCCGAACAGGCCATAATAGCCCAACCCCCAAGCGCCCCAGGCTGGGTAAACGTCGCGGCGTCTTCGCCCGCTGTGGGCTTTCGGGCACCTGGTATGTTTTGTGCTAACACCACCAAAGGACACCAGTGCGCCAAAGGACACCAGTGCGCCAAAGGACACTTAGCGCCAGAGGACGCTTACCCTTTTGCTTTGTGTTTGCGGTAGACAGATTCAATTGAAAAGAACAGATCGAGATGTACAAGTATGTGGTTGCACGCCAGCCGAAGGACACTTAGCGCCGGAGAACGCTCTCCTTACTCTTTATATATGCAGGTTAAAAAATCAGAAAGAAAAAATCGTAGAGAACAAATTTAGATGGACTCCACGTCAGTGTTGAACTTTTCAGGATGTGTTTTTTCTTTTGTTTCGACGGATATCTGCAACACCGACAAGTTCTTTGTTCTGCGGAGTTGCAGAGATCCAGGGCCAGGGCTTTAAGGTTTCAGGCCTCTCAAGGGTTGTTGAGGTTTCGGCGACCCGAAAGGGAGCCCAATATTCCGCAAGCGTGATGGGTCACCCAACTTGCCTTTTGAAGGGGATGAACACACTGGAACCTTCAAGGGTTCTGCTTTGAATGTAACCTGGGTGGTTGGGGTGTGCTATTGAGCAGAGCGAGCGCGCTTTGAGCGGGGGCGTGCCAGCAGAATGGACAGCCCTCCCCCCATGCGCGACCACTTTTGCACACCCAGCCTAAAAGCCTAAAATATGTTTTTTGTTCATCCTCTGGTGACAATATGTTGTTTGGGTGCAAGATTTTGACCAGATGGGTGAACGTCTGCTCTACGGCGACCATGATTGAAATCGCCACAAAATACCGGAATTATCCATGCATTTCGCACATGGCTCGTGCACAGGTGAAATGGCCTGTAAATCTGTGCCCATCTGTTGGTGCTAATTGTTGTGGAGTGTGAACCAAGTTCTGTGAATTTGGGACCTAATCCCAGATTTTGAAGATGGTTGCTTTCAATGACAAGGGATCTAAAACTAAAAGGAAGCCCCTTCGGCACTGGCGACAACGCTGACATTTTTGATGTCATCGACTGCCGGAAGACAGCCCTGCAGAAGCTGTTTTGTGTCCATCATGAAATGCCGGTCCATGTAGAGCAATTTGTCGCTTCAAGACCTTGTGGTTGGTTTTTGCTTCATATCAACATACAATAATAGACGAAACAATGGAAACATACACACAGTAAGTACACACAACAACACACACACACACAGAGAAATGCAACACAATGCAATTAAACACATACCGAAACAGTTTGCGTAGAATTTAGATTTACAATGATCTATTATATATATATATTCATAAAATTTTAAAAATATATCATATGATGTTATTTCAATCAATCTTGTACTGTACAAGATTTGCGAGAAAAAAATGCGATAAGTTCATCCCTTGGGCCCCGCCTTGCTGCGCTTGCTGCGCCTGCTGCGCTTGCGCTTCGCGGGGCTTCGTTTCGCGGGGCTTCGAGGAGACTCCTGAGGCGTCCAGTGGCTGATTGGTTCCGCATGTGGAAAAGGGAGAAGTGATGGTTCCAGATCTGCAACAAGGCTGACAAATGGTTGGTCAAAATATGTCAAAATCTAATGGTTGATCAAGATCTTTGAAGAATGTCCTGATGGTGACATTTTGACAAACTGCACCAATGAGTTGTGCTTTTGGTTGGAAAAGAAAGGGGAAGGTATTCAACAACGCTCACACAGAGTCCTTGGTCCGCTCTGCTTTTCTCTCTTTAGCTATCTCCTTCTTTTCCCTCTCCTTGTCATCGCGAAACAATGGACCAATGGACGTTTGATGAAGTTCGAAGCACTGTCGTGTCAAAAAAAAACACATGTTCATTGTGCCACTCCCGCTGCATGAACCCCAAACAACTCACAAAACCTTGTGCATTTGAACCCAGAGGCACTTGTATCATGAAGTCTGCAAACTGAAGTGTTAAGAGGACGATACTGATCCCTCATGTTGATTCATGTTGCTGACTGGCTAAGAAATAATATGAAACGAATGACCAAATGGGATTCCTTGGGGTTGCAATCCACTGACTGACCATGCCAAGTTTGACGGATCAGATAATCCAAATACATTTCACATGAGCAGTGTCACCCTGTGTCATCTCGGTTTGTTGACCCTTCCCATATTGAATCATGATTCCCTTTAGACCCGAACCAGTTCCCACATAACTCGCCTTCAAGGAATCTGCTTTTCTTCCCTTCTCCTGAAAGGAGTTCGACAGCCAACGGATTGCCTGGACAAAACACCACGCCAACGCAAACGATTACGGAACATGGCAAAATCATGGCAAAATCTGCTCAATTTTGGTGGATCATCTCAGTTCCCTTGATCAAAAAAGCCCGTCTTGGCTTCAATGCCCAGTGGCACCAACATCGTACTACGGGGGGGTTCCCGTAACTCCCTTCCCGAACACGACGTGTGTTCCCAAGCCTTCTTTTCTCTGGAAGGCTCCTGCAAAGGCTGTTGCACATCACAAGCAAACCTTTCGGACATGGTGATACCTGCGGTAAACATGGCTATGGTCGGTATGGTTCAAATCTTTGGATACCATTGATACTACTTACATTGCACTAAAAAAAAGTTCGAAGTCCCTGGACCAATTTTGACACCTTGCCGTTTCGGTGTCTCTTCAGCTCGAGTTGCAATGCTGGAGGACTTCTCTTCGCCATCTGTCGCCCGTTTTTGTTATAAAGTGGTGAAACCATCAGGGTTTGGAAAGTAGGGTGTCGCCCAGAATCCTATATGGTTGATATGTATTTTCCATAGTTTCCCTACCCTTTGGTTATTTAACATAGCCATGGTATAGATGGTCCATTTATAGATGCTTTAGCTATTAAAAATGGTGATTTTCCATGGCTATGTTAGTCATAACCGGAGGGTATATGGTCTGTATGAAGATTGCTTTCTCATGATATCTACCATTTCCAGACAAACCCGTCCCCAGCGTTTGACCAGTTAGCCCACATCTGGCACGCGAACAGAGTCCTCAGAAGGGACCTTCTTCGCCTGGGTGGGAGACAATGATTGGGCCATGACAGGTTCTACTGTTGTAGCAACTACACATGCAGTAATATGTATTATCATATATATATATGTATCCGCATATATTTATAACTATACATAAGAGGATATACTGTATATATAATAATTATATGACCGTATATGTGTATAACACTTGATTAAATATATGCCGGCATTTGTGAATGCATATTGAATATGTAAGATGTACTGAGAGATGGGTCTATCACGGTCCATCAGATCACCGCTCACCTGTAACAGGGGAGGAGTTGATACGAGAGGACATGACAAGACAGGAATGACATGTGGGATCAGGGTGCCGCGTGTGGTTTGAAAGTCTGAAAGACTGCCCGAATTTCAACATTTGGGGGTGGTTTATGGGAAAATACGATAGTGGAAAAGTTGATTTCAGTACTGAAAATGGCAATTGGCCTAGAGGAAACCCTGTTTTCTTAGCATCCACAAATTTGCGAAGATCCAATCTTGTCCATGTGGTGGAATCTTGTCCATTACCCCCAATAAGTGGCTTAAATAGTTTTTATCTATGGGTCATGGTACCCTTGTGCCCTGGTGAACACCAAAATAGCTGGTATATAGATGTTCATCCCACCAAGATATGGTACTACAGGTGGTGACTCATCGGTGGGCTTTTGAGCTTACGCCCATCATCATCGTGCTGAATCGCGAATCATGTACTAGCTAGCCAATGTGCATTTACTTACAGTTTGCTCGCAATATACCAGCCATGAACTCCTCATCTAAATTGTCTTCATATGAAATATTTGACTTCCTGGCAATCTGACATGGCGGAAAACCAGCTTGCGGATTAGGAACATCTTAGAAATGGTATTCGCAAGTGCCTTGCCAAATGATCAGGGGTTTACATATTTTACATGGCTATCTCAGATATACAGAGAAGTCACCCACGGGTATCGTGCCTTCCTTGGAGAAACTTCCTTCTCTTTCACCTTTTTCGTCTCCTTCAAAAATGGAGGATCTCTGGCATCAGGACCTTTTAAGATTCAGCCAATCATTTTTCAGAAGATTGGAATATCCAATGTATATTCAGCCATTTAAGTGAGTATATCCGATGAATATATCCATAATATATCCATATTTAATATGATTTACCCTCTGGTAATTTAACGTAGCTATTGAAAATGACCATTTATAGTGGATTTTCCCATTAAAAATGGTGATTTTCCATAGTTATGTTAGTTTACCAGAGGGTATACACATGGATTACACATGCTTGTTGCTTGGGTCCAAGCCATGAGCAGCTTGGCCAGGAGCATCACATTCCACCGACCAAATCAAAACATGTATACTATAAATCTTTGCAATATGTTCACAACATCTATATATTTCCTCATTGAATACATGTATATATATATGTATAGTCATTCCTATCCCATTCAGGATTTACCAACCACTTGGGTTTCACAAGATGAGGGAATTTTCCATTTCACGGTCGCCCTTGTCTAGGCTAAATCGGCTAAAAATGATAAGAGCGAATTAGATTTTATGTTATATGTTCTGTTTTTATCGTTTCAACGTTTTGAGATAAACAGGAAATTCCATAAAACCCCCAAAAAAAACACATGTTTATCGCAGGAAATTAACCATGAAATCACGTGTTTCAAGGCCTTTTGGTCACCATACCATCACGGCGTCCCCATTCAGGTGCATCCCAATTTTGAACCATCGGCTCCTTCACTTTGGGCGCTTCCCTCTTGACCTCCTATGCAGCGGTTGAATATCTACTGTAAATTCACTAAATGTCAATGCAATCTGACTATATCCAGCTAGCTATAGCTATTTATCTGTTTACCTACATATATGTATATATATTTATATTATATATATATGTGTGTTTATCTGCTCATCTATTTATCTATCAGTCTATCTATATATATGTAACTATCTATACTATACTACTATCTATCTATCTATTTATCTATCTAATCTAATCTAATCTAATCTAACCTAATCTAATCTAATCTAATCTATCTATCTATCTATCTACCGGTCTATCCATCGATCTATCTATCTATCTGGCTAACTATCTACCCATTTAGCCAACTATCTATCTGTCGTTTTCCTATCTGTAGATCACATATTAAGATTGTTGGGCAAGCTCAACCCAGCCAAAACATATGAAAACATTTCTTTGGGCAACCCTCCCAAGTGTCTGGTTGGAATCGACAAAATCTTTGATGCAACGAAGCGCAAATGACGTAGTACAACAGAAACACTCTGGACGAAATCCCTTTTCAATTTGCAAATGCTTCCTTCGCAAACTAAGGCTAGGCTGGATGATTGGAACAGTCACCATGTTGCCTTCGACTTGTTCTTTCGCGACTTTTCCACGGGCTTCGCAGATTTCTTCTCTCCTTCACAGCCGGGTGCAAGAATCCCTGGTGTTTCAGCAGCCACCCCGTGGAATATGGTTACATGCCCTGACCATCATGCAACGCCAGCAAAACTTTTGGAAACAGCGCATAACCTTCCACCCAGACGCACGTTCCTAAGTTTCGAAGAGTTGCTATCCATAATTCCAATCTCCATCAATGACATAGATGGCTTATTCTTGGCTAACCATAGATACCCCCAAAAAAAACTGATGTACATATTCAATCATATTCACCTGTCCAGCCCAAGGCTTCGCAGGACTTGCATCGGGACCTTTGGAAGATGTTTTCTTCTTCTTCTTGGTCTCCTGCAAACGTTTGGCGATCATTCAGTCCAAGCAGTTTTTTTGGCCAACTCCAAAAAGTGACTCTCAAACGGCTCGAAAAACACAAGAAAAGTAAAGCCATCTGTCAATATGCAAAATTTCAGTGTGTGTTTGATTCTTTTGTCGTTTCAATAGTTTTGGTGCCAGCTTGTCTTATGGGTTGATTTGGTGTTCATCCGGCAGCTTCCAGCTGCAAGCATCTCTCCTTCATCTCCACTGAATCTTCGGCCTCTTCCGTTTGCACATATCCTTCATCCTGACGGTGACGGAGTGCATGCTTATGTCATGAGAGGTAATTGTGTGTGGATGATTGTGCAGGCGGGTGAAGCATGGTGTGGATCTGTGTGCAATTGTAGAGTGTAATATGTAATATTTACGAGTATATTAGTACATGTATGCTGTTGTCAATTGTTTGTCTATGTAATTCTATATATTCGTCATATCTAATTTCGCAAAATTCCTGAGAGAAAGACACATGATATGGATAGTGATCGCAATCATAACTCCTTACAAGGACCTTTATCCTTGAAATAGACTCTCGTATGTGTATATATATACACACTGTATACTATACACTATACACACTATGCAAATAATCCTGCATTATCAAGAAGCTGAAACCAAAACCTGCTGCCTCTCTGCCAGTCCCTCCCTGTACCACTCATTTGCCTGGTCCTCTGGTTGAGGGCTGTCTTCCTCCTCCTAGCTGTGTCAAGGTTGTTGCAGTTGCAATTGCCCTGTCAATTTGCCTTCACTCAATGGCCATTTCAGGAACCTAAATTGGAGGTACCTAACATATATAAGGCCTATATAAGGCCTATGTAAGGGAATGCAAAATATGGCCTTATATGGTACTAACGTACCTCCATTTTAGGATCCTGAATTTCCCATTGATTCACTGGAATATCAACCCTAAAATTGCAGGATTTGCAGCTACTAAAAGTGGCCGAACACCCCCGACAGTAGTAAGCCCCCATTATCTCCTATAGGTCAACAAGGTCAGGTTTTTGGAGGCATGCTATGAACTACCCCAAATGAATAAACTCCACTCATTGAGTAGGAATCAATGTTGACTGAATTAGGGGCATGGGAGCATCCATGAAGGGTCAATTTTGTTGAAAGTAGCTGCATAGTAGCCTCCATCACGGGGTGCAATTTGATTATATTAGCTTGATCTAAGCATCCATGAGGGTTTAAATGGAATCACACTCCATTAAAAAATGCTGCATATGAGCATTCATGAGGGGGCCCAATTAAAAAGAAAAGGAGAAGATACAAAATAATTACAACTAATGGGGGGCTTGCAAAGCCACCTCATTTATTTTAGTACTGCCCCAAAGTCACAGGGGACGGACAATAAAACTACCAGATGAGGTTTAAGAAAATCCTATCTCGACATGAGGTTCATTATGTATACATATATAATGTATATATGATTATATGTATATTGTAATATATATATAGTACACATAGAATTCATTACATCTATTTCCCATGGAGTGGAGCCGCTGGAGCCTCTGTCATGACTTGCTCGTCTTGAGGCACCTCAGAGATCGAGCGTTGGATCATCGAAAATTTCGGAGGACAGCAACAAGACAGGAAGGCAAGTCACTAGAAATCTCTAGAAATCTCTAGAATTACTCGTAAGTTGTGATAACTTGTGTGGATCTTATGGATCTTATGGATAGGCAATTTCGTGTTCTTTGATCTTCTGACCTGAAATATTTTTTGAATGGATCTCAATGGCACTTCACAATTAATTAATTGAGATCTCAATGGCAGTCGACAAAACCCTACAATTTGTTGGGTTATACCATGGGTTTCACAATGTTTCACATACTCATCGGGGTCTGGTCTTGTGGTCGGTCATCGAAGACATACGCTGCGGTGGACATGCTATGCCTGCTGTGCGTTCAAAGGTATGCGGCTGTGAACTGCGTTCATATGCGATGTAATATATTGGTTATGTCCATATGTCAGTTCATTGCATATTTGTTCATATGTACGTTTGCTGTTTGCCTTTTCCAAATTGTTAGTCCTTAGTGCGTTCTGCATGGATGTTGACACCTGGCAAAAGGGAGGCCATATGTTTTACCCCCCAAGCTATAGTGTATAGTACAAACCTTCTGATTTTTGCAGATCAGCCAGGTGCATTAGCAGAAAACAACAAATCTTCGGAGCCCATTTCAATGAATTGGTTCAAGGGAAAAAACAACACATATTAGCTTAAAGCATGGTTCCGGATGGCTTTCACGTGTGTGTTTTGACATTTTTACCCTGCCAACATGTGCAACACACGTCACCCCTTGGCATCCCAGCTTCGACTTCCAGCTTTTTTGCCCTGGAAAAAATCTGAAATGGTCCCAAAACACCTCTGGGATCGTTGGGTGACTCCCATAGGGCGCCAGTGTCCGGCTTCACCGGAAACGAATCTGTGATGATGGCGCGCCTCTTCTCCTTCTTCTTTCTCTTGGCCTGGAGAATTGGGAAATATATGGATGTGGGTCAAAATGGAAGACCTAGGGGACCACAGATGTTAGTCTAGTTTAGTATTAACCATCCAATTATTGGGGTACCTAATTTTGACCCATACCCATATGGACATATTATGCGTTGTATCTTGCTGCACAAAAGACGCAACATGATTACAGTAGATCAGTTCACACAGCGCAGTATCATAAAGTATACAATGCTGCTCTGTGTTCGAAATCGGCAAAAGTGGACAGAGGTATTACCCTCCGGTAAACTTACATAACTATGGAAAGATCCACCATTTTTTATGGGTAAATTCACTATTTCTGTGGCCATTTTCAATAGCAAACTGTTAGTTTACCAGAGGGTAAACCTCCATTTTCCTATGGGTTTCCTATGGGTTTCCTATGGGTTTCCTATGGTTTTCCTATGGTTTTCCTATGGTTTCCAATCATCTCGTGGGATCTGTGGCCTGGTCTAAGGTACAACGCAGATTGCTCACAAAATCTGTCCAAGCAGCCATTGGACGCCCAACCAAAGGCTGGCTACCATAAAATGGAACTGGGGCAACAAGGGCAACCCTTGAAAATTGACATATATATATAATAATAACAATAATAATAACAATTATAATAATATATAATAAGTTTATATTAGATATATAATAATATATAATAACATATATTATGTATATATATATATGTATATTCCATTATGTATATATATATATATTCCATAATGTTCCCACATCGCGGCTGGTGGCTTCAAGCTGTACCGATTCGGCATGTTCAATCGCTTAGATCCCACAAGCAGATCTACCAACAAAACATGGTCCGATTTCAACCAACAAGAAATGGTGGCGTTTTTATTTCACAGTATTTTACACCCCCAAAAAAAGTGGAGACATGTGGAGATCTCAAATAAACAATCAGACTTTCAGGGGAGTATGGGCGGAAATTATTGGACCCCCAAATTGGATCAAAATGGATGGCTCAACATACGAAATGTGACCACACCTTTTTGGGTATCTTGGTAATCTTGGTATGCCAGGCCCACATACTGTCATATTATAGTGTACTATACTTTCACCAGGAAAATGCCATCAAAAATATGCAAGAAAATACAAAAAGTCATCCCCCTTTTCCGAAGCCATTCCTCGCCTCATCGGAGATCTCTCTCGCGCCTACGGTGGCAGGTCACGGCCAATCAGGCTCCAGCCACCAGACATAGAGGAGACATACGACCAGATTAATGGCCCCAAGATGCCCCAAGGTGGTAATGACCTGACTTTTGCGCCATAGCAAAATAGTTTCATGAATGTGACTACAAAAAGGATCTAAGAAATCTATGTAGTTCAAAATTCAAAGATGTTCAAAGTTCAAACAAGAAGTGCATACGTCTGAGGCAGGAAGCACTTTTCTCTTTTACAGCGCCCATTTTTGGGTGGCCCAAATCTCCAAACCTTACCACATGGCCCAGTGGCCCAGTGGAACTTTGTGTTTGATGATTCCCTTGGAAATCAGCAGGGAGCGCTGACGACTTCCGGGGAGGATCAGATATTGTAGACCTCTCAAATTAAGCAATCCTCCCACCTGAGACTATACCACATCTCGGGGAATCAAAGCTGGGCCTTCATTCCTCTTCGCGCCGTTCTCCTTCCCCTGGCGGCACTTTTTGCGCTGTTGATGAGTTTTGTTTTTCAAATTCCTTGAGGCCCTAGTGTCATCATAGACCATCACAATCCCATAAACTCCTGTGGTGGGAATGCACTTAATCCATCTTAATCCACCATTCTCCCACATATACAAGTATACAGGGAATTGTAGTGGTTGAAAACTTGAAACAAATCACTGGAAACAAATCACGATGAACTCTGGATATTTTGTCCAGGATACTGGCGGCCAACATCCATGGATCAAGCATGGAGCCTCACCGGCATTTGGCCCATGGAGAGAAACTGCAGTTTTTAATGGGTCAAACATCGTCGACAATGCCTCTAAGCTTTAAACCATTTTGAACCTATATATAATTCACTTATATATACTTATAAAACTTCTCAGTCTTGGACTCTCAAGAAAATCATAGAATTTTTCACACTCTTACAGGGCCTCTGCTTGGTCAAACTTTGAGACACCCGAGGTGTCTAAGTCGTAGCAAAAGTTGAATGGACCCAGTAGTTGGCCTTGATGTTCGCTGTATATCATGACTGTGTTGTGAATGTAAATGTTGATATACATGATATACATGATATACATGATATACATGATATACATGATATACATGATATACATGCTATACATGATATACGTGATATACATGCTATACATGCTATACATGATATACATGATATACATGATATACATTGTAATATACATGCTATACCTGATATACATGATATACATGCTATATCTGACATACGTGATATACATGCTATACATGCTATACATGATATACATGATATACATGATATAGGTGATATACATGATATACATGATATACATGATATACATGATATACATGATATACATGATATACATGATATACATGCTATACCTGATATACGATATACATGCTATACGATATACATGCTATACATGCTATACATGCTATACATGCTATACATGATATACATGATATACATGATATACATGATATACATGATATACATGATATACATGATATACATGATATACATGATATACATGAAACATATATACCAGCACCGCCAAAGGAGTCCCACTGTGTTTTCTGAAATTGACATCTTTAAGGGGTCCCACTGCGGGACCCCTTATTCCCAAGGTCATGCCAACTGTTAAGAACATATGTGCTGGTCATAAGTGTAGGTATTCTATGGTAATCTCAGCTGATTATGATGATATGGTATTCTATGTCTCACCTGCCCGGGTAACATTGCCGACATAGCCCCCCAGCCAAGAAACGCATAATTATCAACATTTAGTCATGATATAGATAAGGGATCATGTGCATATAGTCACATGAAACATTGAGGGGAACCAGCCACGATAAATAAGAGACCATCTATAAAGGTTGGCAAAAAATCGATAGTTAGCCAGCCAAAACCACTTCTTCCTCCGACATGGCGGAAACCAGATCGACTAGGATGTTGGTCCGAAAAACCCTTTCTGGACCCACAAAATTGATCGATCTCTTTTTTGACCAAACCCAAAAAAAGTACGATTCTGCGGCACGAAATGACACGCCTCCCAAACTTGGTGGATATCCCCGACACTTTTTAAGAGGTCCCATAGTGGGACCCCTTAGCCTAAGGGGTCCCACTACGGCACCCCTTAGGAACCACCCACGACACGCCACTGACACGTTTGACACGCCCTATTTGAAATTCTAGGATTTGGACAGATTTGGGTTACCTGGGTTCTTGCCCAAGTTTCTATAGTCCAAGACTTTTAGGAGATGGTGTTTGGAATTTTCACGGACTTTCCAATCAGGGTTGCAGGCTCATGGTTTGGAAATCATTATAGACACTGTTTCCTTGGTAAATCACGTTTTCCAAAAGATTGCCACAGCTGTTATCTTTCTCCAATCCCCCATGCCATAAGATCACCCAGAGAAAAATGTGTCACTTGCTTCAGCTATGTGGGCTAGCTATCATGTTGGTGGCTACGCTCACATACTTTGTTGGTAGCTATATCAAGCGTGTGAACTTGGGGCCTCAGTGATCAAAGATGCAGAGGTATGGTCAAGAACCACCCAAAACACCTCTAAACCACCTAAAAAAAATAAGGGGTCCCACTATGATTTTATGCTAAGGGGTCCCACTACAGCACCCTTTTGGTACCCCTGGTATATATATATATATATATATGTTGATATTACCTTGATATACCTGTAAATCATATGGTTTCAATTGTATATGTTGATGTTATTACACAATTTGAAACCAGGATTCGTAAGAAAAGCAATCACAGCAATTACCTTGCCGCCACTTCCACACCCCAACGACATGGGTTCACCTGCGACAGGACTTGGTCCCTTTCCTGTCCGAAAGGACGACTTTTCTGGCTGAAATGTGGTTCGCTAGTACAAATCTGTCGAATTGAGGTGAAAAATAGGGAATGGTCCAACAAAAGCACTCCACTCGTTGCGGCAATCTTTGCTATCAACATTTGCTATGGCCATGACCGATGGAGGAGGTCCTAGTTTTTTGGGTTACCTCGAACCAATTACTTTGAGTCAGGATGAGGCAGGAATCCAATTCCCTTCCAACATCATCATTTGCAATCGTAACCGCGGGTCAAAAAAATTGTCTAATTTCAAAAGATTCCACATCCACATGGTTTTGTCTGAAAATAGGCCCAAAATCTGATGCTTGATCATGATCATAAGTGATCACATTCCCGTCACATTCCCGATGAAAATACATCCCCCTTGCTTGATGGGTACCTACCTCTACCTGGGCATTTCGTAAGCAAGATGCACTTTTTAGGCGTTTACAAAACAGAACGGCCCTTGATGGGGGAGTGTTTTTTTCTCTAAAAATGGTCAAAAATACTGGTATTAACAGTGTTTTGTGATCAAAGTAGCCTTAAAGCCGTTATTTTAGAGCAAAAAATAGAGTTCACCTCCAAAGGCTATGCTGTCATGAATCAGTGGCATCTACAGACTCTTGTGACAGAGAACATCTGCTGCACAGCATGCCATAAGAATGGGTAGTTGCGCATCTTGGAACAGAATATACAGTAGCAATAGGTGACTAGTGTGATGGATATCCTCCGCATGTTTCCTCACTTTGGGGTATCCTCCGCATCAAGACATCCCTCCGCCTCCTCCCGGGGTGTTAGCCGAGCGCGCAAGGGCGCTGCGCCCGGGCGCTTCCGCGCCAGGTCCTATCACGAGTGAACTCGGGGGCACAAGAGGATGATTTGAGGGAAAATCATGGGAAATCCAAAGGAAATGATGGGAATCCAAAGGAAAATCATGGGAAATCATGGGAAAAATTGTTTGTGGTTTTGTGCCGTGAAAAATTCTTCAAATCCCTTCAACCAAGTCTCAGAGATATTCACCAGTCAAAAGAGGAATACTATGAATTTGCGCGTATCAATAATGATATTTTTACTGATCCTCAAGCCAAATAGAGATGTAATCAAATAGGAATGGAAGATTCACCAAGTACATTGAGGATGTGGATTATTCTGGTTTATGACCAATCATCAATCAAAATGTTCAGAATGTTTGCAAAAATGCTTCAATTCATCTCATCATATCCCCTGAAATGGAAGAGGGATCATTTACAGGACCTGCTCAATGGGTATCCCCAATTTGATGGTTGATATTTGTTTCCCTCGAAAAAACGATTGCAACAAAAAGGAATATACACCATTTTCCGACGCAGCCAAATATATCAAATATCACCTGGTGTGTATTTTTGCAGTTCAATACCATTCATTCATCACTCAATCTCCCTTCAATCCCATCACAGTTCACCGCGAAAAATCACCGTTCACCATAAAATCCCCATTGTCACCAACAAATTTCACACCATCGAAACCCCATGAAATCCATGAAAGAACCATGACTGGTTGGTGGTTGACCTACCCATCTGAAAAATATAAGTCAGTTGGGATTATAACATTCCCAATTATGGAAATTCATAAAAGTCATGTTCCAGTCACCACCAACCAGCCATGAAATCCATGAAAGAACCATGACTGGTTGGAGGTTTTAAGCATCTTGAACAATATTAGTCAATGGGAAGGATGACATCCCATATATGAAATGGAAACTAATCCAAATGTTTGAAACCACCAACCAGCTATTATAGAACACATATACCATATATACCATCAATTAACCATCCATTAACCATCCATTAACCATCCATTAACCATCCATTAACCATCCATTAACCATCCATTAACCATCCATTAACCATCCATTATAGCAGCTATTAATACTAATGATTATCCATGAAAGAACCATGAAAAAATCCCTGGTTTCTTCGGATCCTGGGCCAAGACCTCCAGTGCCGTCTTGTTGCTGGCCAAGAACACCTCCACGGAATCACCCGAACCTTCGCCGGCAGCCTTTAATGATGGGTGCTGTGGCTTATTGTGGGCTATGGTGGTTTGGGGTTGATTTGATGTTTTATGATGTTAGATTTGTTTAAACTGAGTTGGTATGAAGTGTTCATGGCTTATTTTGGGCTATGTACATAAGTTTAACATGGTTTAACCCAATCAATAATCGAAGACACTGCTTAGGACTGGCTTGTTGACAGTATCTTCCAGTTGATATTGTTCAGTCCTACATTCCTTCCTAATTGTCTTGGCTTAGTATTGGATAACCCCTTCAGAAATCCGGATGGATGAGGATCTCTTTCGGAGTCCGCTTGGGAATCTTGCACTTGGGGATGTTCCAATCATCGTTCAATGGATTTTCAGGCCCTCCGCCATGATCTAGGAAGGCAAACATAATCGCATGGTCGTTCACAAAAATGGAACATCCTGACATTTGATGCCATCACTCACATGGAGCCTCATGTGCCGTGTATACACGTTGGATGCACCTCAATTTCACACCTTTTCTACTCAAAAGAGCGATCTCACTTTGATGATTTATTGGGTTGAACAATTTTTTCCAGTGACTGTTGATGGTTCTATGAGGCGATGATGGGTTCCGCCTGGATAAAAAAAAAATACGGTTCAAATGGCCAAATTGATCCAAACTGTCCCGCTCTCAATGTTGGACACCCACACCTTTGTCTTCAGCGTCCTTCAAACAGAAATGTCCCCAGGTGATCCCAGGTGCAAATGTTGTATTGGATCCCCACCTGCAATAGACCTGGGTATGAGGGTCTAGTTGTCAGAAAAATCTGCTCACTGAAGCTGATTGAACCCACTTGTGTCCGATTTGATAGCTGCCAAGTGTTTTTTGACTCATTGATGCAGGAGTTGCTTCAAAAGAACCAGCATATCTCGCTTCCTTTGTTGCGTCGATGTTTCCAACTCAAATTCCCCATTGAACTACCCTACTCTTCAAAGAATATGGGTACCCAAACTAACCCTGGAATCCGCTGTACAGGATAGTGTGTAATAGATGACAAACATTCCGCCACACCCCAACCTTCCCCGAATGAAATAGAGGTTGTCGCTGGGAAACGCTTTAGCATGTATAAAATGGTACCTGTAGATGGGTCTAGGCGGGCATTTGTAGAGTTACAGTAAAACAAGTTGAACAAGCACAGAATTCCGTATCATAGATGGTCGAACTGAACATAACAACTAAGCACTCATTTCATGCAAACAAATGCAAAAATAGATGGCCCTCGCGCACACGGCGTGGCCACATCAATGGTGGTTTCACCCCGTTCCAAATCTACAATAACAAAATGGTGATCATTATTCTAGGTAGCGATCGAAAAAGAATCACGAATTGAACCACCAACCAAACCATAGTAGTGGTAAACACACCATGTTTGACACATATCTCTACCAACCGTATTATTTGCCAAGAACTGCCGTTACAAACCAGTCTTGCTAGTTACTGTGGTTCTACTTCCAACTTTTATCCGTTATATGCCCATATCCACTTTCTATCTGCTGTATCCCAATTTATCTGTGTATGGTTTTCGGTCAAACCACCATTTTGGTTTGCAAGACCCAACCTGATACACAACCAGTTTTGGTTGAACGTCCCCGTCTATTCGCGGTTAGGCCAATAGCTACAACCACCAGATACACTGGAAGGGAATACCAGTAATTACGGTGGATTGTGCCCAGGTCTTTGTGGTGGTTAACCCCTCCAAATTTTGGACAACTACAAACAAACAAATTATGTAAAGCGGGTGGATTGGTTTCGCCGTTATTTGTGGCGGCATACATCACAATCGTACATCCATGAATGTTGATTAGCGAACTGCCAGAAGATATCAAGAACGATTCAAAACCCCCATGCCATTTCCATGGATTTCTCCATGGGCCAAGTCCTTCTTCTTCAATAGCAATTTCTGCCGCAGCATCTCAACTTTCATCTTGGCCATGGCTTCCGCCTCCGTGCCATATCGTGCCATACTGATGACCGATGACAAATGCCCGTGATTCTTGACAAATGCATGTAGACAATCTGGCAATGATATGTAATGAATTGCAACGATATCCCACAATTGGAGATGGTTTGCCACATTGAACAAAAATTCTGATCGTTATTTACACATGGTTTGAGATTTTGCATATGAAAAATAACAAGTTGCGGGCAATGGGCAATAGGCAGCTTTCACTCATGAAGGCAACCATTCAGCAATGTGCGAGAGAGCATCCTGGTTTGCTGCTGGTGAAAGGTGGTCACCCTGACCTCATAAAGCTGGTAGCTATTGGGTTAGCGAAACAAAGAGGTCTACCGCCAACATAACACGTGCCTCCTCCTCCTCCCACCCCCCATCATCATCATCATCATCATCGTCATCATCGTCATCGTCATCACAACGAAGAATCTGTGTTCACATATTGAAGCGGTAGAGATAGTAAAGAAGCAACGCAATGCGCGGTCTCGTGCAGAGCCCCTGATAAAAGCAGGTGGGTCCAATTGCTAGCTGCAAAACCTGGCAGTCCATTAATCTTGCTGGTGTCTTACAACATGTTGTGCAACACAAAACAATTGTTTAGTGACTTGGCCCCATCCTTTTTCTTTGGTGGGGATGGGTCAAAACCCTGGTACCTAGTGAACCCCAAAATAGCTGGGATTTATGGATGTTCATCCCACTAAAATGTATCTATAGGTATTGACCCATACCCTGGTGAGTTGTTGTTCCTTTTTCAACCAAACACTCCTTGGACTCCTTGGTGCTCCACCTTGCCCGGCCTGACTCGCGGACATGGCCGCGGGCATGGTGCTCCCATGCCCCGGCGGCCGCCCAGCGGGGCTTTCACCAAGATATCCGAAACATGCCGAGATTTCGACAAACTGCACACGAATGAATAGAGATCTCAAATGGAAAGTGGTTGCTGTGATTTGAGATGTATGCAGATGTGTGTTGTATTCCTCTACATGGTTGAGGATCGAGGGCTGCAGGGCAATTTCTCGAGCCCTGTCTGCCAACCATCCTGTCTAGAGTTAGTAGTTTTGGTGATGCTACAGAGCAACTGCTGCTCAGCTGAATGCAACTTTGAACATCATTCCATACCTCAAGTTCCAAGGGGTCGTCCAAATTATGCCATTGTGCACTTCAATGCTCTCATTTCAGCTTGAACCGAGAAACACATATCAACAGTTGTCGGCCTAACCAGTGAACGGAACAGGACAGAACGGCAGTGGGAAAAGGTTAGTTAATGGTCAAAAAAACACAAGACATCTCTGGGCTGGTGGTTTGTCAATTGGGATAATCATCCCAGGTAGGATGTACAATGAAGACATACATAGAAATAATATTCTAGTTAAAACCATCAGCTAGATCTACTAAACAAACATGTATCGATATTATGTATACATACTATGTATATGTATATAATATGTATATATGTATATATATATGCTAATATGCTACATATATATATATATATAGGTATATATATATACGTATATATATATACACAATATATTCACAAATCTTTTACATTATCGCCGTAGCAGTTGCCAGGTGATCTCCAGAAGTTCATTTCTTGACATGTCGCAAGGCATCAATCACTGCCCTCGAAGCCATGTCTTGGCTTCCGCTTACAGTGCATTTTGTTGCACGTATCTATAATTATGTGTTTGTGTCTATATATGATTTGATTGGGATTATATGTTTCCCTAATAGGAATATCGATTACTGGATTATCATGTTGTATCTGTCTCTATTATTGCAACATTATATATGATTCCTGGAATATGTTTTTAAAGTCAAATTCAATCTTTCGTAGATAGCGGCCCCATTTGGGACGATCCAATTCTAGATCAAGATTTCATCTCCAAGATGGGTGTATGTGCTAGGGATTCTGAGTAACCAACTTGGCTAAGCTTGACCAACTTTGACATAGTTTTGACCATTTGGAGGTTTCCTAAGTCATGGGGATACCCCCAAATCATCCATTTTGGTAGGATTGTCCATTATAAATCATCCATTTTGGGGGTACCCCCATTCCAGGAATTTGGATATGGGGATCGCTCTTACCAGCCCCCAATGACACTTCTGAAATTACAAGACAAAAAATTATATATGTTCTTCCGATGAATTCTGTAGGCAAAATGAGTTTCCATTCCAGACCACTTAGCACCTCCACTGAACCCAGAAGTTGATTGGGAGCTTATGGGGCCTAAATTCCCAGTATTTACAGTAACTGGTTCTGTTGTGATTTTTTCCCATTGGTATCCCCATTTTCGGGGCACGTCATTGGGGTAGTTACAACCCCATCTCTGTCCAAACGACCCTCACTCCTTTTTAGTCCAAACGACCCCTTTGAAACGCAGCTCCGCACGAGAGTGGAAGGCGGTGCGGCATTGCTAGGACTTGAGTTCAAAGACTTGGATAGTCCTCAGGCGACCAAAGTGGCTTGGGGGATCTGTGGTGTGGGTGGTAATTGTGGACCAAATTCTTCGCTAGTTTTACCATGGTTTAACCAATAGTTCGCTGATGGTCTTAGGGTGTTTTTTAAGACGGTTTTGAGTGACCCGTTGGGAGACGCAGAGTCCAAACGATCAACCCTAACGACGCAATGCACCTTTTGTATGCAAGTGTAACCCGACAATTTCTATTTAAATTTGCCATCTTCTATATTTTCTATGGTCGCATGACACATGAATGTCTCTTGTATTGGAGTGCCGGATCACATGTCATTGTGTACTTGGTCCCCCACAGCTTTGCTCTTGAAATTCTTGAAATATGAACCTATGATTTTCCTTCATGATGTGTTTCGTAGCATTCCACACACGCATGCCAAGTTTGAACGTGTAATATTGGAAGGTAGTGTCATGAACTGACCGGCCACGGAACTAAAACCCACCTGAATTCACCTGAAATTGGTTGAACCTTGGCCACTCACAATGAACCTTGGCCCCTGACATGACAATTTAAATCAACACATTTTTCTGCATGACTAGTTTTTTAAACTACAGGATCCAGGTTTTGACTGTTTTGAATCACATCTGCTGCTAGAGTCGTGTCATTTCGTAAAACAGCTTAGTTGCGCAAAAAAAATGTCATGGCATATTCACATCAAACAACATCAACAACAAACTGATGTGATCACATGAAAGGTACTGGTGATTAAATAACCATTATCAAACAAGGCTAAATCACCATTAAGTACCATTTCCTGGTCATTAAAATCACAAGTTATCACATGATTAAATAACCATGATCACCAGCACTAGTATTTTAATGATTTTCAAAAGTTAATCACAACAACTCTTCCTGGACTGCTCTCCTTTTCGTTTCATCCCGTTGCGACCAAAGCACTGAATTTTGCCCCGGCAGATCGGACAGGTATCGCCTGGCACATCGTGTGTGAGCTGATCTTCGGGCAGGGTGGTTGTCAAAGCAACGAGCAAATTCAATTTTTGGAAGGGGCATATATATATAAATTATATATATAAATTATATATGTATATAAATTATATATATATATATTATGCATGTATTTATGTATGTATGTATGTATGTATGTATATATGTATGTATGTATGTGTATGTATGTTTATGTATATGTATATGTATATGTATATGTATGTGTATGTATATGTATATGTAATTATGTAAAGGTATATGTATATGTATATGTAATTAGGTAAAGGTATATGTATATGTATATGTATGTATATTTATATGTATATGTAATTAGGTAAAGGTATATGTATATGTATATGTAATTAGGTAAAGGTATATGTATATGTATATGTATACGCGTATGTATGCATGCATGTTTGTATGTATGTATGTACGTATGTATGTATGTATGTATGTGTGTGTATGTATGTATGTATGTATGTATGTATGCATGCATGCATGTATGTATGTTTGTATGTATGTATGTATGTATGTGTGTGTGTAACATCTAAATAGATGTAAAACTTCTCTCTTTTTTTCTTCCTTTGTCCTCTCCCTTTCTAACTCTAATTTCAATCCAGGGGGCCACCGGGGTCCCGGGGGGGTCGGTGGCCACCGAAGACACCCCCCCGGGACCCGTGTAAACGTACCTGCATTGTTTCGTATCTAATCTGCATGTTTCAGGATTCAGTTCCTGCCGCATCATATAATGATCCATTCTTGTCTAGTGTGTGTGTATGTATGTATGTATGTATGTATGCATGCATGTATGTATGTATGTATGTAATGTATGTATGTATGTATGTATGTACAAACCATATTTGACGTGTATATATATATTAATATCTATATCATAAAATTCATATAATATACAAAATACATTTATACATCTATATGTCAAACGTATATCTTAAATCGAAATACATAAAACCATTAGTACATACATATATAATCATATATATACACATATAACTTCTATGACTATGGCACAGAGTATGATGTATATAATATATATATATAAATATATATTATATATACATACAGTATACAAGTAATTATATATATATACACACTATATACATAATACAGTCTTTATGACAGACACAGAGATCCTGCGCCATGGCCATGCCCATTCCTTCCCATCGCGACCTCTCAGCTGCGCTCCAATGGTCAGTTCACGAGCGCACTCCTGCAGCTGGCCGATGAAACACCTGTGGTGAAAAATCATGTTCAAAGGGACCACAAACATGGTGAAAATAAGTGGTAAAAAAACATGGTGAAATGAACGCTTTATTTACCTTTAGTATCGTTTAGTTGTTTAAAAATGGTAAAGCATCCTCTTATGATCCAATGAAAAAAACCGTAGCTGCATGGGAATGTGGTTGAGCCAAGCATCTCAAACATAATATGAAGCTACATGCAAATTGTCCCACTACAAATAGTATCAACATGTTCTAATTCCTGCCATTGAGTTTTGACCCGGAATCATATTTGGTGTGCAACGTGTTTGACATGTTGCCGATCTGTCTTAGCAACAACAAAAACCTTGGCTTCCTCCGACCCTCAGCTAACCAGTGCCCAATTGCAAGATGAACCTTGGATTCCACAGCATGTTGAATTTCAAATTTCATGACTTTGAAAATGGGGGCCGCCGGCCCAATCATAGCAAATCTATGGTTTCCTTTAAATGGTAGATTCTGGGTCTTGCGTTTTGGAAACTTCCTGTTTTGCCAATCATGCCCCACCTTTCTTGAACCATCGCAACTTTTCTTCATCAAAAACATGTTCTCGTTTCGTTGTTGCATGCCCGCTTTGGTTGGCGAGTGGAATCTTCCAATTCTTACTATATAGTTGCATCTTCTGTTTTTGACAGCGTCATCAAACCTGGCAGTTCCACATCCGCCGTAAACAAAACAATCTGAATGTATTTGTCCATATATATATATATTTGCTCTTAGTTAACCTCAGGTTTTCCAGCCGTGTTTGATTTCTTGCTGAAAGCCTCAGTGTTTTGGTCTTCCAAGGCACTGTCCTCGCAAAGACAAAGATGTCTGCAGGGGAGGATGGCCGTGTTCCGCGGGTCGCTCAAACAAACTACACCTGAGCCGCGACCGGTGGTGTCATTCCAATTCGGACTCAATAGGGACTGCAATACCTTCCTGGTTGGTGGTTTCAACTCTGAAAAATATTAATCAGTTGGGATGATGACATTCCCAATATATGGAAAAGTGATGAAACATGTACAATGTTCCAGTCACCACCAAGCAGCTTCCCCTGTTTAAAAGTGGACCCATTCATCTCCGGGTCTGATTTAGGCTGTTTTATATGTTGTTTTCTTAGTGGAGGCATGGGGTTCGTGATTAGGCTTAGCGTTGCTATTGGGAAGACCCAGTCACTCATCCAGTGGCTGAGCCACCCATTCCCACGGAAAAATCAGTGGTAGGTAGACCTGGTACCGTTTGGGAATGTAAACACTATGCCACATCAAGTCTTAGCCGATACATGGCGCACAAATCTCAGAAGATATGAGCAGGTCCGAATGCTGATACGTATCAAACCTGGCAATGGAAAATCCAACATCATTTACCCTCTCGTGATCAAACATGGCTGGATGGAAAATCCCCGAACTACCAGCAAAGTGTATGGATCAGAATCTGCATTGTTGATTGTTAAGTCCCATTAAGCCCCTTAATTTAATTGCCATGATTTCCCATTAAATCCCATTGAGGCCCATCAAATCTCATATAAATCCCATTAACTGAATGGTTTCTTTTCGCCAAGTTTCTTTTCCACAGGGTCCTTCTTTATCTTCTTTGCTGACCGTTGACATCCGTTGACACACCAAGATACATGGTTCTCCGTGCGAGGTCTCATCATGAGCTCCATCGTCCTGGGTCTCAAAGGTTCCGTGGCTTGATAAAGGGATACTGTAGGAATGGAGTATTGTGAAATCCGCCGGCCTGCCGGCGTGATTTGTGGATGTTCTTGTGATACATCTTGTGATATCTTTAGCTTCACCTATAGATTGCTTCTGCGCGGGTTTTTGCTTTGCTTGCGCTGCTCCAGCTGGGTATAGCCTTTCGGTTGAGGCTTGGTACACCTTCGGTTAAGTCCCAATTCTACAGGTAGCTTGTGGTTGTATAATGTTTACTTCTTCTTCAGCTTCTTCTAGAAAACGTTCCCTAGCTTTAACTTGTTCTGGTTTGAGATTGAATTCTTGCTCTTATTCAAGTTTTAGATTTTAGCCTAGCCCAAGCCGCAGCAATTGCTTGGTCTTGTTCTAGCTTTAGGTTCAGATCTGGTTGTAGCTATTGCTATAGCTATACCTGAAATCATCTCTTCAACGGATTTTTGCTTCGGCGGCCCTACTTCCCCCCTCCCATATAGACTGTCTTCTATAGTTCTATAGTATAGTCTTAGTCTAGTGTTGTCCAGTATAGTCTAGTAGTCTAGTATAGTCCAGTATAGTCCAGTATAGTCTAGTATAGTCTAGTATAGTCTAGTATAGTCTAGTATAGTCTAGTCTAGATTCATCTGGCCTAATCTCTTTTCTCAAGCGAACTAGCCACTCACCTCATTTACATCATCACATCATCCTCATCTCGGTGGTCATCGTCCTCATCCTCCTCATCCTCCTCATCCTCCTCCTGCTCATCGTCATCAGCCTCATCAGCAGCAGCAGCAGCCTCATCACCACCACCACCACCAGCAGCAGCATCATCATCATCATCGTCATCATCATCATCATCATCATCAAACCAACCTTTTACACCCACCAGCTTTACACACCCCCTGCTTTGGGCCTGTAGGTGATCCCCAAGTTGACGGGACAGTCTTATGATGGGGAAGATACTGGGATATTGAATGTGACATGGAAATGAAATCATTCTTGTCTCCTTTTGGTACTGTAGTCAACTATGAAAAAACACATAATTTTATGGTGTATCTATATGATATCATTCTATAAGATTTTTGTTGGCATCATATGTCTAATCATGTCTAATCTATTCTGGTGAAAGAAATCCAAACAATAGGGAGATACACTACCAACAACTCGACCCTAGCCGAGCACACTAGCAGGATGTTCTCATATTGTGTAACCCCCCGTCCTTGCCAAGATCAGCAAGGCCATAGATCTCTTCCAAAAGGTACTCCTGTTCCACCCAGGGAAAGGGAAACAACATGATGCTGAAGGAAAATTTCTATGACTCAAATCACCCGGAGTTACAGTAACGAGATTGAGGGTTGCCACGTGCTTGTCAGGTTGGTTTTTCCAAGTAATTTCCGGACAAAAGTCGTGTTCGAAACTACCCCATTGCAGACCTCAAAAGGGTCAGCATCACCAACATGGTCTGGATTTGCCACCCCTTGCCATTTTTCACTTCCATCTTGGAGCCAAATCAACCATTGTGCGATCCCGCCCTCTTCCTTGGTGCCTGCGAAGAGTACTTTCATTTATCAACCAGAAATATGGTGTATTCTGGGATGGCTTCCTACTAACAATCATTGATTCTGAGGCCGGCCAGCAGTTGTCATATCATGTCATATCCGGTTTGCCCAGTAGCATTGCCGCTGCCTTTCTCGGTCCACTTTTTTTCCGGAGATCTGTGTCTATAATCGGATTTGAGTTGCCTCGAGATTCATCTGCACCATCCTGCCATGCTGGTGCTTTTAGGGTGTAATCATGAATAGAATGTTGGGGTGCCCCTGAATGGAGAATTGAGCTGGAAAGAATTGAGTTCCCGTCATGGCTGAACATGATAGACCTCATCCACCAGTTGCTTTCCCAAGTGTAGTAGTGGAAAATCATGAGATCTGCGAGGCGACTGCTCTGTGTCTCTGACTCTGGGCCACAGTGGCACAGCGGCACTCAGCACTCAGCGGCGCTCGTGGGCACGCCACTTCTCAGCATGATAGCCACAATAGAAGAACAAGGCTCCTAACAGCAGCTGGGCACGGAACAGTCTAGAGCAGTGTAATATGGAACATCATGATAGATTCACTTTACTTGGGGGCATTTGAAAATAAAACTAACATGAGACCGCAAAACTGCAATCTGAAAACATGTTTCCCATTAAACACAACAAATCTATGGGCTCCATGTTTGTCTTCACGGGGGTGCACCCTACCAACAATAAGTAGGGACATTCCCGCAGATAAAACATGCAACAAGTAGTTGGAGAAACATCCACAATAGTGGTGCTGTGGGAGCCAATGGTTTTCACGAAGGACAAGGGGAAGGGCTTCTGGTGAAAGTGTATATGGAAGTCAACATCATGGTACCCTGGCGGTCATACATATCCACAAATTGTAGTCACACGCTACGAGTACTTCTGATGCGACCTATCTGCAACTGCAGCTGGATTGCTGCGGCCGAACATCATCCAAAGCCAATCATTTGGGCAAATACTCCTTGTGGTTTGGGTTTGATTTTGAACACTGCACCACCCTTGAATAAACATATACACATATGTAACGATATCATAGGTATGTATATATTATAATATATATCTATATTTAATATACTATAGTATAATAATAATATAATATAATATAATGTAATATAATATACTATAAAAAAAGAATATAATATAATATATAATATAATATAATATAACATATTTACATGATATGACATGTTGGCTTTAAAAGTCCCATCTTCTCCTCGGATTTCCCCAAGCACAGTGCTCTTCTTTCCCACACCGGCCAGGCTCCTGTTGGCCGTTTCGATCCAGGAAAATTGCAGGGAAGACCTGACGGCTGGGGCGGCTGGGGCGGCTGGGGCGACTGATTGCTGCTTGACCTGACTGGACTGTTTGACTGGTTGCTGGTGCAATAACCATCTTGAAAAAATATGAGTTCGTCAATGGGAAGGATGACATCCCATATATGAAATGGAAAATAAAATTCATGTTCCAAACCACCAACCAGGGACTGTTTGAGGATTGTGTATCGAAGAGTACTATCTCTGGTGAAATGTTGGGTCAATTTGCACCAAACAGACGAGCAAGAAACATGCAACTTCCAGTGCTGCAAATGGGACCTTGGGACCTTTACATGTATTGGTGATTTTGAAACCTGAAACCCACAAAAAAAAAACAAATGGCATTTGTCTCATCTTTGACACACCAAGTCATAGTTTCTTGACCCATTCTTGTTGGTTACCCATGCTTGTTAACCTTCAGTCTTGTTCGTGCAACATGGTGAACCAGCATCATTTTTGCTGGTTGATACCCCATTCGCTGACACCCCGACTCTTGTTTGCAAAATGTTCAATTTGTTTTATCTCCCCACTTCAACTTATGTTGGGTACATTCCACATTTTCGTTTGTAAAAATTCACGATTTCTGCTGGGCTCATCCTTCCATCTGTTTTCGGCACCGCTTGTCTCCAATCAGCCATGGAATGGTCCGAAAAAAAATGAACCTTTTAGGCGTCATACAGATCTATACAGTATATTTTTCGATGGAACCCATAGGATTTTGATCCATCCCGACCCTCGAACAGGGCGGAGAGCCAGCAACAAAACTTTGGCAGAAGCATTTTTTTTCTGGTTCTTAAATTTCTGAAGAGCTTGGAGTTTAATAATCATCCTATAGTGGATATTTCTGGACCATCCACATTTGAGCCATCCCATCCCATGCTGGCTATGGCGACAGAGGGCCGTCCCAATCGGAATGCGTTTCTTCAATTAGCATGGTTTCAATGCTCGACAATGTCAGAGGTTTATTTTTGGAGCCATCCCCAAGTCCCCAAAGAAATTTCCATAGAATCCGCAATCTTTGGAGGTTTATCAGCCCCGCACAACAAAGATGAACATCTGTTTCTTGGGCAAAGTCACCACCACGTTTGGTCGCATGGCACAGCTCCCGTCGCGTCATCGTGGGGGATTTTGGGGAGCGGCGTGGCGTCGGAGTGCGTGGCCTTGGTCCCCCTTCTTGCTATTATGATTGTCATTATGACCCATAGGATCCATGTATCCTATATATGGTAACATTTAACATCAATATACCCCAAATGTTAGCATATATACCATATATGGATCCTATGGGTGATATATTATGATTATGTTTATCGGATGTTATTGGCCGTTAAATGAGGTATCCGAATATCCCCCATATTCAGAGCCATGTGTAACTTCACCAACAAAACCCTAAGGATGGGAATCTTGTGGCCACAAAATAGCACAGTAACGAACAGTTTCTATGGTTTTTACCTCATTGGAAATTACCAAATTAGCGAAGGACAACCGGGCAATTCACCTTCAAAAAGTGTCACTCATCAAGCACAAAATCCTTCTGCGCTGGTTCTAGAAGAAATGGCTGACGACATTCACACACATTACACCCCTCGAATGTCCTGAATTTCCTGTTTGGTTTCCGTTGCTCCTAAATTATTGTTATAAAGTTATAAGTTCTAAGATGACGAAATGAAATGCTACACAATCCTCCTTGTTTTCGTGGTAGAGGTCCCGAAATTGATCCTTTTTGGCCAAAGATTGCAGCCCGGTGCAGCTTGAGATTCTTCTCGTGGGCCACCTTTCCACTTGGCTTGGACTGTCGCCTCACCTTATCTCCTCCGACGGACATGAGGAACATTCGCTTGTGGCTCGTTATCTGCTACCTGGACAAAATGGAACAAACAAAACGTAACAAAACAATACCCACTTCAGCATCCCAGAATAAAACCAATCATTTTATTGTGCTTGTTTCATGATGTTCCACACACTTTTTGGGGGTCGATCCTTGCTCAGTGGCCTCCTGAATGACAATAACCATGGGTATCTGCACAATTTTGGGGTGGTCATAATTACCCCAACATGATTCAAAAACGCCAAACGAAACCATCTGCCTGCGCTCCTGAAATTTCTGCCTTTGGGATTTTTCTGGGGTGGCTTCACCCATTTTTTGGGGCTGCGTTCACCATATCTGTTGGGAAGTTTTTGCGCAAAAATCTTGACAGCAGCATCCCATAGCATCCCTCATTTCACTAGCAAAAACTATTGTTTCCTATCTCCTATATTTGTTTCTGAACAACTATATTGTCCATCATTGAATGTCAGATTTGGTGAAACATATATACCCAATTCTTGGTGGTTGACTCAGTTTTCTCTTGGCTAAAGCAGCATTCTGTTGCTAAATCATTTAAGTCAGTTTTTTGCATGGTCAAATTCCAATTTTCTTGACTAATTCCAAATTTCTGTTGGTTTACGAGTTTGCTTGAAAATGGTTTACCCCAAAACTCCATTAGCGTTCTCCCTGGTGAGTGGATGTTTGTCAGAGAATACCTGAATTTTGGACAACACCCGTCCGCAACTTTTGCATACACACGCAAGCACCGGTTGAAACGATTTTAACGCTTGAACATGGTTGAACCTGATCCCTTAGGTGGTGTCCGAAATTTTGGCGCATAACTACCAGCATCCCAAAATTGACGGATTTTGCCTCTTGCCGTAGGCTGTGCCGGGGGCCAGGTGCGATCTCCGTGCCCCAATTCTGGGTTTGCCTGCTGTAAGTTACTTTCATCTACGTTTCTTACCCAGTAAGATTTCCCGGACCTCTCTGGGAAGTATACTTGCCCTGCCCAAAAACCCGAATCTCCGTGCGCGAAATCTTTTGCCTGCACCTGGCTCCACATGCTGCTTAAAATATGCTTAACATAAGGGCTATCAGAGTGATCATCAACAAGCAGGAAGTTGTAAGCCTGTTCCATTTCCACACGTAACATTATACGTTGTAGAGGCGTCCGAGCAGATTCTTGGTTATAGTTATATTATATATCCCATTAGATATCTAATTACTCAATATATCCTCACTAAATCAACCCAAATTTTCTAGATCATGTTAGTGAAATCCTGGGTTTTCCATGGATCTATGTTATTTTGCATGGGTAATTTCCCTAAAGATCACCACATAGATCCTACGGTCGTCTCCTGTTGGCACGTTGCTTCTGGGCTGGCTGCGCCGCTGCGGCGTCGAGGGCAGCGTCTTTTCCGGCGAGGCGGCGACGCCAGGAGCTCCGCAGAGTAAGGAAGCGGCCTAAGATCCAGGCTATGGCTGTGGATTCTATTTTATCCCCATAATATCCAAATAAATCCCCATAAATCCCCTATAAATCCCCATAATATCCAAATGGTACCCATGAAATTACCTGAAATTACTACCATCTGGTTATTTAACATAGCCATGGAAAATCCCAACCATAAATGGAGGTATCTAGCTGGGAAAATCATCTATACATGGGTATGTTAAATAACCAGAGGGTATATATAATTACAATATATGTGTTCACATCTACACATATATCCATCTATACATCCATCCATCCATCCGTCCGTCCATCCGTCCGTCCATCCATCCATCTCTATCCTTTATATTATATGTTATATCTTATAGCTTATGTATATATGTATATATATATATTCATATCATTGCATATATGTATATATCTCTATATTTCCGTCTATATCTATATCTATCTATTTACATATATATATATATATAACTATATCTATCTATATGGGAGGGCAACCGTATAATCGGTATATATATATGATAATACGTGATACATACATACATACATACATACATACCATACCATAACATAACATTACATTACATTACATTACATTGAATTACATTACATTACATTACATTAAATTACATTACATTACATACATTACATACATTACATACATTACATACATTACATACATTACATACATTACATACATACATACATACATAATGTAAACACATAAAATTGGTTGGGTAGATAATATAATCATATTGATCAATGGGCATCATCATTGCTGAATACATTTGAATGTCAATCCATGAGTTGAGTAATCATGAACCAACCTCAAAAGGTAAACTAGGCCTTGCTATTTTGCATCACTCGGGGAGGAGGTAAGCGACCATGATGAGCCACTGAATCTCAAATGTGAGTAATAAATACTGTAAAACAAGGATGATAATTATGATCCTTTGTTATCATAATCATATGTAGTTATATTGTAAATTATATATTATATATTATAAATTACATATTATATATTATATATTATATACATATACTAAGTGGTTAATTAATAAAATATCATATCATATGTGGGAAATTAATAGAACTACGTAACTAAGTATGATCCCAGTAACGGATGTTTCGTCACGAAAAACCTGGTGAATTCATTCACCAACATAGCTGTGTTTGTCTCTGCACGCAATATCATACAAATAATAAGATATTATAATGTGTATACATATATATATACATATATCTGGGTAAATTACAATATTTCACTAACCTGAATTAAGGCCATATTGGGATGATTTCCCTTACTAACCATCATTCCCAGTGAGGTCGCAGTGAGGTCGTTATAATTTACCCATATATAAATACAGTATATATATATATTGGCAATATGAATGGACATGCAACCAAGCAGAGGCACTTGGAAGGCTTGGTAACCAATGTTATGAAGGTAGACCTGATAGAACCCCTGGATAGGTTTTAAGGACATAATAAAACATAAATACTTGCTGTCTCATTTATCCACGCAAATATGAATATTGTAAAATGGCAAATAGTTCTCAAATTCAATAACTATCACACGTAGTATACCCAAGAAACGTGGCGAAGTCACAGTCAATCATTGGTATATTATACAATATTAGACATCAACAAGAATCATAAGCGTACAAACAGAACATAATGATTGAATATACTAAATATACATCTAAATACAGAAGCTGCAGCTTCAACAATGTGAGTATCCTGAATAAATATTCAAACAAACTTAATACAGGTTTCTGAACAGGATCCATATGTTCATTCATATGAGCGCTCATATGATGGTTACATACTTCCTTCTCTAGCATGGGCGGCATTGAAACCATGTACAATCTACGAAATTAGTCAGTTGGTTGCTTCGTCACCGGTAGGTCTCGTCAGCTGGTCAGCTACTTCGTTGCAGCTCGTCTCTTTTAGCCGAACTAAGCAGCTGATATGAACTGCTGCCACATGGCTGGTGACTTTCCACGGGTATTCGGAGTGCGGCTGCGAGGTGTCTGGCGCGGATTGGGCGTAGCGCTGCGGCGCTGAGAGGCTCCGCGGGCACTCGTCGGCGTGCGCAGTTTTGAAGCACTTCGGGTCCTGTGCCAGGGACACTCCGCTGGTATGGCCCATGGGTCAGGCAACCTTTGGCATCGGAGAAAAGACGTATTTTAACATATTTTAACTCAGAAGAAAATAGAGGGAATACATTAAGTCAATATATGTTAATTAATATTATATTATATTGATATACAATAGGAGATCCATGGAGAATTTAAGTCAGCGAGATGGCGGGTGACAGCATTGGACATTGAGCCAATGTATTCCCTCACGCTCCAAACATCCTGGATGCTTCAGGTTTGTGTACATGTCAAACTTAGATTCCCAGAAACAAACTATATAACTCCACAAAATGACCAACGTGATTTCAATTTGCAGGTGACCTTGATGTATTTCTCAGGCTACCTTGATGTATTGCAGATAAAGGAGCACCACATGTCCGATCGCATTTGTTGATGGAGGTTACATTCCTATTTCATGCGACTATAGCCTATAGCTCAGTTTGTTTGTTGCTAGTTGTTGGCAGTACAGTACATAACCAATGGCACGTCTGATCCGTGAGCAAACACGAATGAACAGAAACGACTCGACTCCGTTTATTTTGGCACATGCCCATATGACATCAAATACCCTCTGGCAATTTAACATAGCTATTGAAAGTTGCCATTTATAGTGAGTTTTCCCATTAAACATTGTGATTTTCCATAGTTATGTAAACGTTTACCAGAGGGCATCATCAAATTGATTCAAAGTGCCTTTCTGGATCGATAGTGGCTTACCATTTGGTCATTTTGAGGCAAGCAATCCATTTTGCTTCCTGCATCCTCCCTCCCGCCTGGGAGGCGTCTTGGGTTCGGATGTGGCACGCTTGCCGGAGCCCTCAGAGATAAAGTTGGTGGTTCAAGGGGTACTCTCCCGGGATTGGTGCAGTAATGATATGGGAAAAAACTGAAAAAACTTGAGAGGGGGGGGACGAAAGGTGGGGGGGGGGGCAAAAGATACTACTACTACGACGACGACGACTACTACGACGACTACTGCTACGACTCCGACTACTACTACTACTACTACTACTAGTTCAATATATTGCATTCCATTGTTTTGCGAGACAGTTTCAACCATAGGATTTCCTGTGTAGGTGTTCATGGATAAACCGTTTAGGCGCTTGCTCATACGCTGATCGGTTTCTAACAATTGTTGTTCGCAAATTGCGCTCCATAAATTTCATATATTTCTGTACCAAAAACAATACTTTCTGTGGACCCAGTGGGAGAACCTCCACAGAGTCAACCCCTAACTTGGTTGACCCTCTGGAGGCCCCTCCACCGGGTCCACGTATTTGGCGTTCGGAACGTAATTGTACAGAACAAAAAACGATATGTTATGTATACTTAGTAGAAATCACAAGGTCAACAACTAACCAAAAACATTAGTTTCTGTGGACCCGGTTGGATTTTATGTAAACTTGCTAGAAATCACAAAGTCAACAACTAACCAAAAACAATAGTTTCTGTGGACCCGGTGGGAGAGCCTCCACAGAGTCAACCCCTCACTTGGTTGACCCTCTGGAGGCCCCTCCACCCCGTCCACGTATTCGGAGTTCGGAACGTAATTGTACAGAACAAAAAACGATACTTTATTTAGACGTGGCGGAAGCGCCTCCACAGCGTCAACAACTAGCTCAGTCGACTCCCTGGAGGCCCGTCCAACGAGTCCGCGTGCTGACAACACGGTATACCTACAAGAATAACGATTCATTCACCAACAACAAGCACACAAACATTCCAGCTGCTTGGGTGAGCTTTTCAAACTCCAAAAGTTTCTTTCCAAACATGCCTACCTTATACATCTAACGTTAGAAATCGGCAAACTCTTCAACGCAATTTCCACGAAGTCATGAATCTAATGATCTTCGGCTATCTGTAGCCAAATGTCTTGTTCAAATCTTTCTCAAGGAATGATCTCCGAGACATGCAAATCAAAACTAGAGCAAAGAATTTCCAGTTCAAGTCTCCCACAAACCTTGCCCCAACTGACTAGCAAGCATTTCTAACTACCAGCCTCGCATTTACTACGTAAATGCTACCTTTTCTACGACCTACGCACCACACAGACTCCCTCAAAGTAACTACGTGACGCTTACGCGCTACCTATAGTCATATATACATGTGCTATGCATCTACTTCCTATTTAATACTATTGTGTAGGTAGATAGATAGATAGATAGATAGATAGACAACTAGATAGATAGATACATAGATAGATAGATGGATAAGGAGGTAAGTACATAGTCAGAGAAAAAGAAAGAAAGAGATGCGGACCAGGGGGGAATCGAATGGGGGGGGGGCCCCCCTAAGTGGAGATTCAATACTCTCAGCTCTCAATTTCCGGGAAAGGAGCAGCCACCTCCCCCAGTACTAAACTAGTACTAAAGTACATAGAACTCAGGTAGCCTAGGCTACCTTTCGTGACATGAAATGAGGAGGCTGATGTTCATGCTCTTGTTGACTGGAGAGCGAAGAAATGCGAAGAACCAGAAAAAAATGATCATGACAATGGCGATGATTGTGGAATATTGGGGAAACTTGCGAACACACACACAAAGACCAGTTCCGCTTGGAGCTAAACATTCACCAAATTTCAGAACACAATCATAGCGATGGCCGACACAGCCTCACCAAGCGGCTATGAACTATTGTGAACTATCGGAAACTATCGTGAACTATTGTGAACTATTGTGAAGATTTCAGATTTGTGAAGTGCTTCTGAGTGGCTGGTGACTTGACAGTCCTCGATTGAGATCTCCCTGCTCCACGTGGATTCGGAGTGCTGCGGGGAGACTGGCGCGGATTGGGCGTAGCGCTGCGGCGCTGAGAGGCTCCGCGGGCACTCGTCGGGGTTGGCGGTTTCGAACCACTTCGGGTCCTGTGCCACGCGCTGGTGGCGGCCCAAAATGGGTCCCAGGATCAGGATCACTTAAGTTGACCATGGGTGTGGGTTCACACAGGGTGGCATCTTCGGATCCATTGGGTACCTGAAAGGTTTATCGTAGTGGGAACGCGGGACAATGGAATCTTTGAGGAGTACGGGATAAACCTGGCTTTACTGCGACTCAACGAAGATTTCATCGTACATAGAAACTCGTTCACCTGACACCAGCCTGGCGAACCGTCCTTTTCATCACTGATAATTTATGATAGTTTCATAACTAGTATCCAAAACCATGGGCAGCAACTTGCACAGCAACATTATTTATCTGTGACGTAGGCTTAAGCGGGCCAAAACGTAAGCTTAAGTGAGGTACTGACCCACGGACGCACTGAATCGCTATGAATCGTTCGGGTCTATCATATCACAACCGACAGTAGCTGTTGTTGCCACATGACTCTTAGCCAGAGCCAATTCAATGCCCCGGACACAGTTCAACAGTAAATAAACACGCAGCGATTTGGATTCTCACCTTCCACGGATTTTCGTCAGGGGAGTAAACAGCTGTTTAGGGAGACAAGCATTTGCCCAAATTTTAAACAACAGACTCCACAAAATACCACAAGGTACGATACCAGCGCGTTTGAAGTCTGAAGGTGACCTTGATTGATTTCTTCCACTACTGTTGTTGTTAGTTCTCATTTTTGAGCGATTCAATCCCAAGTCTTTTTGTCCCAATGGATCTCTGGTTTGTAATCTCCAATTCGAAGTCACTGCCAGTTTGTGCAGGTTATCACATATTCCGGCAAATGGTTGCAGTGTGGGAGCACTGCCCATTGGAGTAAAGCCTTTGAACTGTGGACTACTCAGGTTTATATATTGGCAGCTATTGGTTGTGCACAATCCATTGTTTGTCAAGATGCCACTAATTACGCGGGGAACGCTCATACAATCATAAAATACACATATCACTTGATGGCTCGGAACTGGCTTACCATTTGGACACCACATTTGGTCATTTTGAGGCAAGCAATCCATTTTGCTTCCTGCATCCTCCCTCCCGCCTGGGAGGCGTCTTGGGTTCGGATGTGGCACGCTTGCCGGAGCCCTCAGAGATAAAGTTGGTGGTTCAAGGGGTACTCTCCCGGAGGGATTGGTGCAGTAATGATATGGAAAAAAAATGAAAAAACATGAAATGAGGAGGCTGATGTTCATGCTCTTGTTGACTGGAGAGCGAAGAAATGCGAAGAACCAGAAAAAAATGATCATGACAATGGCGATGATTGTGGAATATTGCGGAAACTTGCGAACACACACACACACAAAGACCAGTTCCGCTTGGAGCTAAACATTCACCAAATTTCAGAACACAATCATAGCGATGGCCGACACAGCCTCACCAAGCGGCTATGAACTATTGTGAACTATCGGAAACTATCGTGAACTATTGTGAACTATTGTGAAGATTTCAGATTTGTGAAGTGCTTCTGAGTGGCTGGTGACTTTACAGTCCTCGATTGAGATCTCCCTGCTCCACGTGGATTCGGAGTGCTGCGGGGAGACTGGCGCGGATTGGGCGTAGCGCTGCGGCGCTGAGAGGCTCCGCGGGCACTCGTCGGGGTTGGCGGTTTCGAAGCACTTCGGGTCCTGTGCCAGGGACGCGCTGGTGGCGGCCCAAATGAAGTACCAATCATTCACGGACGCACTGAAGCGATATGAATCGTTCGGGTCTATCAATCTATCAATCTATCATCTGACATCATCGAAATGGAGAAAACACAGAGAATGTGCTTTAAATTTCATATGACTTTTATGTCAGATTTTCCATTGCAATGCTTGATTAGTAGGGGTTAAGGCTATTCCATCCTTGCAACTAAGAACGTTGCAGAAACTTTTAGACATGCTGGATGGTTTGACTAATTTACAACTGGCAAATCGTCCGTACTATTTCCAGTGATTTGTATTGTGCTGCATTCAACTAGTAGGGTCAATCATCATTCGAATTTGTCTCAAAATGTGGTACCCTGTTCAAATCCCTTGTTCAAAAAAAACATGGTCCCATTCATATTCCCTATTAAAAATGGACCATGGCCATGGTAAATCACCCAGTGTAAGACACATTTCTGCTAGCAACTTCCTGGTACCCACCACCACCTGGCGGGTGGACTCTTTCCGAACTTGCCACGCTTCAAGATAGAGCCCTGCGACAGTGAGAGAGCATCATCCATGATGTAACCCATGATGTAAGTCATGTCTTGGGGAGGTTTAGTTTGCCATCTTTGCTGGCGAATTGTGGCTACATATTCCAATATATTCCAAATTCATCCTTTAAATTAATGCACTTTCATCAAGAAGACGTAGGATTTTGCGTGATTTTGAGTTGTCATAAACGAGAATGAAGGAGTTCACCTATACAAAAACTTTGGGAACGCCGGGATGCCCACCAAATGTTTGAGAGGACTCGCGTTTTAGAGAGCGATCATGATCACCAAAAGAGCGATGAATCAAGAACGGAATAGAACAGACTATTTAACTACCAAGAATATCAAGAATTGGGAATTAATCTCAAAGAAATCGAGACTGATCAAAACTATGAATGTGAGCACCACCAAAGAACATGTTCACTCCTCATTTCTCTTGGTGTATGGGAAACTCAATTGTTTGTTGTTTATCCCGAAATTGTCCAGGTCCACTCACAATTCTTGAAAGTCAACTCACCTATCTCACCTCATGTTTGAGTTTTGGGTGAGTCTGAAAATAGATACATTTAAAATCAAGTATACCTCCATTTTATGGCAACGTTACGGTTATTCACGATGCATAACCCATGAGTTTTTTAGGGCCGCGGCCTTTCGCTGAAATCCAAATTTTCTTCACCAGTTTTGCCGATTTTCCCAGATTTTCCCAAGATCTTCCCAGGATTTTCCCATATTTTCCCATGATTTTCCCAGTGAACTCCACCCTTTTGGATCCCTTTTTGTTGCTGCCGCCCCCATCCCATGGCACCGGTGACACGATCTCCGTGCGGGCTGCAGAGTCCGCCGAGGAGGGCGAGCCCAGGTTCTGCAGCCGCGCGGTGGCCAGGCGATAAGCCTTAGGCCATGGGGGGAAAATCATCACAGGTACTGTACAGATGTGATGTATGTCTATATATATGTATATGATTATATATATATAGATAGATATTGTATTCAAACTATAGCAACCATATATATATATGTATGATACATTATGATACTATCTTATATATATTTTTTTAAAGAGGGAGAGAGAAAGACAGACAGAGAGAGATCGATTCATCAGGACAAAAACGGATATGTTTCAGGACGAACTGAAAAAACAACCATGCATTTAGCTGGAAAATTGATGAGTGAATCTGCCAAAATGGGAGAATGAGGCGCAATGAAGCTGTGAGAAAAAGGGAGGTAGCAGATCTAGTTGGCATTTGACCAGCAAACATGTTAAATTCTACCAAGAGACATGGGAAATTAATCCAGAAACATTGAGTTTTGAGCTTGAAACAAATTGGGAGTTGCCTTGTTTCAAGAACACAAAATGGAGTTCTTTCAAGAAGCAACTGGTGATAGTGATACCAGCAAAACCGGGAGAGCTGCTCACAGTTGGTCAACATTGGAATGGAGATTTGGCAACAATCTAACCCCAAAAGAGCATCAGCGTTTAGTGGTACCAAATAAGTACGGATCACGACTACTGGAACCAAACCATGGAATGGTAAAGACTAAAGTTACCGACATCAGCGGGCCGTGTGCGGCCTTAGATTTTAGGATCCAAAGAGTCTCAAATAATTTTGTTGTGTATCAATTCCCAGCCATCCAATCAAATAAGAACTTTCAATGTGTCCTAATTTATATACTATATATATATATATGATTATGTGTATGTATATATATGATTATATGTATATATATATATATATTCAAGATTTGGCAAGTGAACGTCGTGATTCTATGCAAATACTTTGAATGGTTCCAAGTCCTAGTGGATGCCCTCTGACTCGCTGGAGCTTGCAAGTCATCCGTATCAGATTTGTCAGATCTGATCATCGTCGCATTGTCCCAGGTAGGTCCCAAATTCTATTGGGCATCTTTTTCCCCATTAATTGGGCGTGACTATGCGCCCATGAATGTTGGTGCCACTGAATAATCTGATGTAATTGTGGATCGATTACAATACTTCACCAACCTCAAAAGTTCAGCCATTTGGGAAAAATTATATACCAATCCTAAGCATCATTACAGATCCTTGAAACATCATGAAGCCACCAACATCCAAGCAGCCATTGCATGTGGCGACCGGCGCGGGCTCAATCCCTGGCGTTGACCTCAAGTAATGAACCTCCTTGGCCTGTGGGCCTTACGAACCAAGGAATATCCAACGTTTAAGTTTTATTTATGGTTTTATTTAGTGTATATGGCTTTGTCAAAAAATGTGGGATGCCTCATAATTACATATAAATTACATCATTGTAACTGATGTAACTGTAGAAATGATGATCAACCATCAAATTTGGGGCTATTTTCAGACCAAGCCATAGGGGCTCAATATTCTGATACCTCGACTTTCGAACAGAAATGACCACGACATATATAAAACTTTTGGATGACTGAATAGCCTTCTGTATATTTTGCTAGATTTCTTGCACAGCCCTGTTGAAAGATGGATCAGTTTGATGGAGAGTGCTGGACATCTCCAGAAAGGTGGATATGGAACACATATCCATGTATCAACCATGGTTGGTCACATATATCATATATGCCCATTATTAATCCACATTCTATCCCCATGCTATCCACATAAAAATGTTTGCTGTTATAGAATATACATATAATTTTCTTAGCTTAAGATATACAATTTTTTAGTTCCCATGGTTAAGAAACCCTCAACCTTTATAGTTATCATGGTAACATCACCATCCCACAGCTGCAGCCAGGTGTCATTCGGCTTCCAATTGTTCAGGCCGCAGCGTCAGCAACGACTGCACCGCAGCACCACAGACCTGGTGAAGTTTTTTTTCGTTGGGACGTTAGAAGGTCTACTTAGGAGGTGCAATAAAGTCTATGATAATGGTATAATAACCATTATAAATGGCATTATAATGATGGTATAATGATGGTATAATGATGGTATAATGATGGTATAATGATGGTATAATGATGGTATAATGATGGTATAATGATGGTATAATGATGGTATAATGATGGTATAATGGTCTGTATAATCATGGTATCATAATCTGTAAAGTAGTTTTGTGGTTCAATAAATGCACAATGGTATACTTAGAAGGTCTACAATAATGGTACAATAATGTATAATAAATGGTATAATGGTCCACCACCATATGGTATAATAATGTAACTATAATAATGTATAATAATGTATAATAATGGCCCGCCACCATATGGAAAAGAAAAAAACATGTCTACTTAGAAGGTGTTGCCCCACCTCTATTTTGCATACTCTATATATATATATACAAATTAGTATACAGTATAGAAATAAATATGTGTGCGTGTCTGCGTGTGCTTTGTATGTGTATTCTATGGTATGCGTATGTATCTGGCAATGTATGTCTATAACGTCTATAGTGTGTGTGTAGATTGTATACATTTATGCAGCTAGAATTCCAACAGAATGGTAAACAGCCTCGATGTTCTTGATATATGGTTGATGTTGGTTTACTTTCCATTCTGCTTGCCACATCTCCCTCATCCTTGCTGTTTAAAACCCCTGTTTGGTTGATAATATTGCTCTTATGATTAGATGTAATCTCTATCTCTTTGTCTATATGTGTATATATATAAATACATCTCTCTCTCTCTCTTTCTCTACTGTATATATGTATATAATATGTGTATATATATATATATGTGTACATATATATATTATGTATATATATATATAATATGTATATATAATATATATAATATGTATGTATATATATAATATGTATATATAATATGTATAAATATATATATATGATATGTATATTTATATAATATGTAAGTATATATATAATATATAAATAGACTATTCTCCATCTATCCTGTTTCCAACCTCACTCTTTGGCTGATTATAAAGCCTGACAAATTGTGAGACAGAACATGACCTTTCCAAACGGCTGGTTATATACCAGTGATAATGTGATACCCTATTTCTGGTTGCTTAACCAACCACTTCATACAATATTTTTGCAAATGGACCATGGTATAGTATAATATAACCAACCATTCGCACACCCCAACCACTTCTCTTGTTTAAAAATACATACACCATTTATATCAGGTTGGCGGTTTAACCCCGTCTCAAAAAAATGAGTCACCTCAACCAATCATCCCAAGTCTTAATCCCCGAGCAGATATACACATATATACCCCATATTATATACACGTTAAACATATGACAAACAAAGATGGAACCTTATCTATCTTTTTGGGGCTTACTTGCTACATATATATATACATACATACATATATATTATATACATACATACATACATACATATATATATATATATTATATACGTATATGTTCATACACCATTTTTACACCTTTCTAGCGAAAAAGTCTGCGTCCAAGTCACTGCAGAGAGTCCCTCCTTGAGATCAGGTCTGGCCGAGGCAGGGCTCTTGCAGCGCAGCCGCTTGGGAGGGGTGACCGCCGGCTCTTGGGGCCTGGCAGAAAGCCGGGATCGAAGTGATTTTCACCATATTGAAGCTATAAAAATATTTAAGCCATGGATTGAGCATGATTAAGCCATAAATATGGGGGAATTCATGTATTTAAGCTATGACCATGGGGGAACATTCAGTAATTGAACCCATGGAACAAGAAGGTTACTTATAAAAAAGGAGGATACAGTATCATATGACTTGAGTTGAGGAGAATGAAATTGAGATTTGCACTTCGCACCTCACTATTACTCATTCACCGTTGATAGCTGGCATATATTGGCTTATGTCGTTGCCTCCATCAATCCCCAAAAAATGTATAGATGATGAGAATCCCAAATTAAGAGATTCATCCTTGGAGTCCCATCATCGGTCAATTGGTCAATCCATCCACCCGTTATCAAACATCAAACATGACGTGATGGACAATCTATGATTTGTAGATCTTGAAAACCTTGAAAGTGGGGATCATTGCCAGGTTTAAAGCACCAAAGGGGATATATATATATACATATATTATATATATGTGGTCAAATATAGTTATATATGATATTATATGTATATACATATATATAGGGATATAGCTCCCCAGTTCTTAGGGAACAGATTATATCAGATTATGATATTTCTTGGCATAAATGATGTCATCCTCCATTGGTTCAACCCAAAGCCTCTCCGTTAACGAATCCAGTCAGCACATCCCCGTTGGATGGGGGTGTCCCATGTGCACAGTAAACGCATGTAGGCATGGCTATGTATGTATATATACACAGTAATCCCATGTTTGTTGCTTTAAACAACTTCAAACACGAGTTTTCTCGTTATATCGAGTTGTCTCACGGTTTATCATCAGTTTCCATGTTGAAATAACAAGTTTTGTGTCTATCCCCGGGTTTGAGACAAAATCATATCGCCACATCTGCTGTTATTACACCCAATGTTTCTCCATTTTTGCCAGAAAAAAAACAGTTGGTTCGTTTTCACCTTTCTTTTCTTAGTGAACTTCCCATCAATCACCATAAATTCCCAATTAAATCGCCATAAAATCCCAAAGGAAAATTAAAATCACCATAAAATCACCCTGAAACCACCCTAAAATTCCCATGAAATCACCCTAAAATTCCCATGAAATCACCATAAAAGCGCCGCTTTTACCTAGAAGAAATCCCCAACTGCCTGCCATAGAGCGCACTTGCGGGGCTCTTGCATCGCAGGCGCTTCCTGGGCGTCTCGGTGGACTGCGCAGCACCAGTGCCTGGCCGTGGAAAATCACCGTTTTTTGGTAGGTAAAACCCACTTTTTTACCTATGGAAAATGGCAATTTTGTAGGTAAAACCCACTTTTTTTGTAGGTAAAACCAACTTTTTGTAGGTAAAACTATGGAACATCAGCACTTTTTCTCCATTTTTCAGAGCTTCATCATAGTAATTTTTATTTCTGGAACACCACCATGAGGTAAGATCATCTATGATCATCTAAATATAGGTGAATATAGGTAATGTTTATTCATGTTCAATAGCTATGTTAGTGTACTGAAGGCTAAAAATCCTGATCATATCCAGTATCATTACCATTGATCACATCATATTCAAATCCCCACCGTTGTTGGCATTCCTGTTGGCCATCCCCCATTTGTTGTCGGCCACGGCCCCATTCTTGTTGCTCGTAAAATCATTGCTGCTCACTATTGTTGCTTACAACTTATAACCAACTGATTAAGTGATTGCATGCTATTCCCCCGTTGTTGTTGTTAGCAAGTTGGCTACAATCATATTCTTGGCGCAAAATAACTTCTTTGCCGGTGCCCCCATCCCCATCCCTTCCCCACGGTGAAGCCTTCAAGAGCCACTTTCCTGCGCGCAAGTTCCAGGAAGGATCACTTTACCCATCTCTCAATCAGTTGCAAAGCAGAACTGCTGGTCATATTCTCATTGAAAAATATTTCGCTTTGACTGTACTTCCATGGTTCGCTTTGTTCTAACGAACTCGTGCTTTTTGTTGCAAATCACATAAAAAGAGAGTGACTCCTGGGGAAGGACATCATATTTGATAATACAATTATGTGTATATATTATATATAGAACTCACAGTCGATCCCAAGCCTCATGTAATTCCATGACTGTTAAGGGACTTGGTCAGTGGGTGTGGTCGCCATAAATGATATAATTCAGATGCATGGTACACGTTGCTACTCGTGGTACTCAAATATGGCTGGTTTGGAAATCCAATCTTTAACAGAACATGCATAATAGACATATACACCCATGAAATCTAACAAAGCATAAATCAGCTCTGGCACCGACTCATTAACATAGCATCCGGTACCGTTGTGCCAGTCATGATTTTCAATCCAAACCAGAGTTTTGGCAACAGGATTGCTAACATAGCATTTGCCCAGGGTTCCCAAAACCTCCAATAGTACATCATAATCATGGCAGCAAGTAGCCAGATTGGCAACATCGACCAGGAGTTTTTTCCTTATTCAATCTATTATGTAAAATTGTTGGCTTTGAAGCTTTTTTGGGTCCAGTAAGGGTGAGCCCCAGGAAGACATCCAAAAACAGTTGTGGTTTGATCTGGTCGGCTGGAGACTCAAAAGAGATAACCTAACATAGCAACCAGGGGTACTTTCATTCTGGATTGGTTGATTGATGTGTTCGGTTTCCTGTTTTCTAAAACATGTTTTCCGTGGAGTTTGATGCAAACATAGCACCTTCCATTTAGTGGCTCCAGCTTTGGAGTATTCGCCATGTTCCCAAACACAGCACGAACACTAACTTGACACTTTTGGGAATTTGTGCTGATGGAGGCGCGGCAGGTGTTAGGTTAGTATCAGTATGATCCCATGAACATGCAAGATTTCAGCTGCTATGTTAGCGGTTCTCAACGAAAAAAACGAAAACTAACATATTGCAAAAAATATATTTTTTTTGCAACAAGTTGGATTTCACGAGAGTATATATATATATATTTATTTATCTATTTATTTACAACCTCAAGCAAATTGAATAATTGTGGTACACCCACAATTTATAAATAATTGCCTACGGAAACCACGGATCTTTCATATCGACGTAAAGTTGTAGGTCCGGGATGGTCCGGGTAGGTCATATCTTGGGGGAAATTCTTCCAATCACCATACACAAATGATGAGAAAATCATCAGTAAATGCAGGCAACTGTCAAACAAATAGGGCGACAGGATGGCGTTGATCAATCCACTTTCCATTCAGATTCAAGAAATGGACCACACTGGGGAGTGCTAATCTATGGATGGCGTGAGCGATGGAGATGTGTGAGGTTAGTGCACAGGCAGCCGGCCCCCACCTCGCTTTCCATTTCACTATGTCGTTTTATCGCTCACCTCGTCTTCCAAACCTGCTCCTGGTTTTATCTTTTCTATGCTTTCAAGTATCACCTGACTCGTATTCTTTTCGCGGCCCTACCTGGTTTTGAACCTGGTTCTGGGGTTCAAACAGGAGTGCTTCCACCGGAAGACTACTGCGCAGGATACTCAAACGAAAGTGTTGCTCAAATGAGGAATGATTGTTAACTTTGTGGAAAACCAATGATATTCCACTTGATGATGATGATGATGATGGTGGTGGTGGTGGCGGTGGTCATGATGATGATAATGATGATGATAATGATGATGATAATGATGATGATAATGATGATGATAATGATGATGATAATGGTGGTGATGATGACGACGACGATTATCGATTATCCAAATAATTTGGATTTGTACTGAAATAGGCCAATTGCATGATATATATATATACATATATATATGTATATATATATATATGCCATATATGTGAATGTGGGATAGTCTTTTTGGGGGGTCAAAGCCATACCAGCATCAAATGGAATTGGAATGTGGATTGATGACGTCCAAGATGACCATCCCAATCTGTTCGCAGCAATGGTTTAATCAGTTTAATCCCAGATGCATCCATGGATAATAGATGACTGGTTGGTGGTTTCAACCATATTGAAAAATATTAGTCAAATGGGATGATTCTTCCCAATATATGGAAAAATAGAAAATGTTCCAAACCACCAACCCGGTGTGAATTGCACTTCATGAGTTTTTAGACAAGTCCATTTTTTCGTTCAGAAAAGTCATTGGAAACATGAAAAAAACATCAATGGAATGGAACATACATAAAAGTTCATGTCAACAGATTTTAACATATTTCACCAGTCAATTCATTTCACGTTCAACACGAAATCAGACTCCCCAAATCAAATCAACCGATCCATCCAGGGCCCAACTTCGCTCCTGGCCGCCGCCAATCCGCTACGTGCCTTCAGGGCTGCAGTGGAATCCTCGTGGGATCGAAGCGAAAAGCCATTCTGAGCCGGTTCCAATGTGTCATTCCGCTGGTTTCCTTTTTTTGGCCTTGCTGGTTTCCGCTAAAGGTGAGCTCCGTCTAGAAAAAACCACTTAAAAAATGGGCTTAAAAGAAACATATGTCGCCTACCTCCCAGAATTAGTGGGAAGATTTGCAGGAAAGTCCCATGCCAGCCTCGCAGCTTTCACAGCCCAAATGTTACTGCGAAAGACTGGGATCTGCCAAACTAACAAATTCTAAATCCAGGGGGCTTTTATGACCCAAGATGGATCCTATGCCATCTACAGTACAACATCTTTTGCGTGTTTTCAAAGTCACCCCAAGGTTGCAAAACCCTCCAAGAAATGTCATCCAATCCCACCATGAACAGATCCCATACTAAATCAAGGCTTCTGAGGTGGGCATTTCAAGGAAGTTACAACCACTACAGTAAATCTAATATGGAACCCAAAAATGAACAAAACGCACATGTCCAGTAGTAAAAGAATCTAACTAAGATCTCGATTTCTAAATCTACTAAATACTTTTTTGGGTTCTTGCGATCGGAATTCTTTGATTTCTTCCCAACATTGGATAGTCATTGCTGGTAAAATCCACAGATTTCAATCAGAAACGCCACGCCATTTCCGCACCATCAGACCAGGTACTGCACCCTGACTGTTGCGGCTCACCTGTAGGCGCTGTAGCAAGTCGTAGCCTGGGAGAACGGAACAGGGAGCATTGTTTGAGGCCCTGGTGTTATATGATAATGGTGTGTGATTAATATCTTATAATTAGTCAATGGCACCATTATTATATATAACATATATCATATCAACATAATTATATATACATTTGTAACCATTTGTATATAAGTATTGTACCATTACGTTATATATGGGTAATATGGTCCAATGGCATGTATATCTATAACAAATAACCCGTGATAACCCTGCCTAGGCTAGTTGTAGACTCTGTTGAATTCCTTCCAACATAGTTCAACCTAATTAGTTCAACATACTGTGGATGGTTGCGAAATCCTCACCTTGGTTGAAACCCTATAAAAGAATGGGATGTTTACCACCAACTGGTGCAGGAACCCTCCCAAAAATGTGTGCTTCATTGATGCCGAGGCACTTGATCCAATGTCTGACAGGCCACGTTGCACACCTACGACTGCAATGAGCTCCAGCACAAGATGACAGCATGAAAATTCTGGTTGAAATTGAGAATCTGGGAGCGGGAATTCCTGGTTTGGGGCTAAAAACTAGGACTCCATCCACAAAAAATCAATGCTTCAACGTATTCCAATTTTCAAGCGCGTCCTTCCAAACCTTTCCAAGTCTGGGCTCAAGCAGCTTCATTCATTGAATGGAAGTGCCCAAAACGTCCGATTGTGGCAACGGCCAGTGCTGGCTTCGACAGAATTATACAGACTTGACCTCACCAAAACATGTGGGGATGTACCAAAATCGTGACTCCTATTTCTGAAGGATCATTTTGGAGTTGTTTAGCTATACAGTAAGTGGAGCTACAAGTAAGTTATGATGAGTCGGTGCTAAGTCCTCGTGTAACTTTCATAACTTGTTCATACCCTTTTTCCCGAGAGCGTCTGAGCGCAGGGTTCTTCCAATAGTGGGGGTCTGTAAAACATCTTCTCATCTTCACATCTCATCTTCACATCCTCTCATCTTCACATCTGCTCATCTTCACATCCTCTCATCTTCACACCCTCTCATCTTCACATCTGCTCATCTTCACACCTTCCCATCTTCACATCTGCTCATCTTCACACCTTCCCATCACATCTGCTCATCTTCACATCTGCTCATCTTCACATCTGCTCATCTTCACATCTTCTTATCTTCACATCTTCTCATCTTCACATCTGCTCATCTTCACATCTGCTCATCTTCACATCTGCTCATCTTCACATCTGCTCATCTTCACATCTGCTCATCTTCACATCTGCTCATCTTCACATCTGCTCATCTTCACATCTGCTCATCTTCACACCTGCTCATCTTCACACCTGCTCATCTTCACATCTGCTCATCTTCACATCTGCTCATCTTCACACCTTCCCATCTTCTCATCTTCACATCTGCTCATCTTCACATCTGCTCATCTTCACATCTGCTCATGTTCACATCTGCTCATCTTCACATCTTCTTATCTTCACACCTGCTCACCTTCTCTCTCATGCCTTCTTTTTATCTTTCTCTCTTAAGGCCGAGGGTGGTGCCGGCGGCGAGTCACGAAACGTCAACCCTTTCGCACGAAATGAGGGTCGATCGGCAAAAACTGGGGTAAAATTGCGATTTGACTTGTCCTGGAGCAACCTTTTCGCACGAAATGATGGTCGATCGGCAAAAACTGAGGTAAAATTGCGATTTGACTTGTCCTGGAGCAACCCTTTCGCACGAAATGAGGGTCGATCGGCAAAAACTGAGGTAAAAGTGCGATTTTACTTGTCCTGGAGCAACCCTTTCGCGCGAAATGAGGGTCGATCGGCGAAAACTGAGGTAAAAGTGCGATTTTACTTGTGCTGTTCTTGTCTGTGTGTAAAAGCGCCTGTGTGTAAAAAGCGTCTGTGTGTAAAAGTCTCTGTGTGTAAAAGCGTCTGTGTGTAAAAGCGTCTGTGTGTCAAAGTGTCTGTGTGTAAAAGCGTCTGTGTGTAAAAGTGTTTGTGTTCAAGTGTTTCTGTGTAAAAGCCTCTGTGTGTAAATGTGTTTGTGTGTGAAAGCGTTTATGTGTAAAAAGCGTCTGTGTGTAGAGGTTGTCTGTGTGTAAAAGCGTCTGTGTGTCAAAGCGTTTGTGTGTAAAAGCGTCTGTGTGTAAAAGTGTTTGTATGTAAAAGCTTCTGCGTGTAAAAGTGTTTGTGTAAAAGTGTTTGTGTAAAAGCCTCTGTGTGTACATGTGTTTGTGTGTGACAGCGTCTGTGTGTAAAAAGCGTCTGTGTGTAAAAAGCGTCTGTGTGTAAAAGCGTCTGTGTGTCAAAGGGTTTGTGTATAAAAGCGTCTGTGCGTAAAAGTGTTTGTATGTAAAAGCTTCTGTGTGTAAAAGTGTTTGTGTTACAGTGTTTGTGTAAAAGCCTCTGTGTGTAAAAGCTTTGTGTTTAAAAGCGTCTGTGTGTAAAAAGCGTCTGTTTGTAAAAGTGTTTGCGATGCAAACTACTGTCTTGCACTTCTCACTGTCCTGTCTTGATACTCCTCTTCTCGACTGCCTATAACAGAGCTTTCATATATCGTTTCTAATATTGCGTCTCCATACTAACAAGAGAAGACCCTGCTCCCCCCTGAACTGGCCGAGCAAACATGACTGTAAGCATTTCCAGAGCTTCTTTTGGTGGCCGTGGTGCTCGTCTTTGGAGATTTTGGAGGCCTGCTGCATGTTGCCGTGTGGCAGTCATTCGATGTTTTGCAGCTAGCTTTTGGTAAAACCGCATGATTTTGCGAGTTTCAACTGCAAGCTTGTGTTCCGTTTGTTCGTGAAAGCATGAAGCTGGTCGGCGCAGCTATTGGTTCGAGATTTGTATCGCGCTTGGCGTCTATAAGTTGTCACTCTGGGTTCGCTGCAACCGGATATGTCCGAGAAGGTCCGAGAGTTGCAACAAGGCTTGACAGAGAAAAAAGTTGATCCCTTCCGGCGCCAGGTGCGCAAACTTGGGATCAATGCATTGACGGCTTTAGCTTCTGAGCTGGGGATGTCACTGTGTGGCATTCATTCGATGTTTTGCACCGCATGATTTTGCGCCAGGTGCGCAAACTTGGGATCAATGCATTGAAGGCTTTAGTTTCTGAGCTGGGGATGTCAGTGTGTGGCAGTCATTCGATGGTTTGCAGCTAGCTTTTGGTAACACCGCATGATTTTGCGCCAGGTGCGCAAACTTGGGATCAATGCATTGAAGGCTTTGGCCTCTGAGCTGGGGATGTCAGTGTGTGGCAGTCATTCGATGTTTTGCACCTAGCTTTTCATAAAACTGCATGATTTTTGCGCACAAGGTGGCCAAAACTTGGGATGCATGCATTGAAAGGCTTTATTTTCTGAGCTTGGGGATGTCCTTGTGTGGCAGTCATGAATCGATGTTTTTTGCAGCTTACTTTTGGTAACACCGCTGAATTTTGGCGCCAGGGGTGCGCAAACTTGGAATCAATGCATTGACGGCTTTATTTCTGAGCTGGTGATTTCAGTGTGTGGCAGTCATTCCGATGTTTTGCAGCTCAGCTTTTGGTAACACCGCATGATTTTGCGCCAGGTGCGCAAACTTGGGATCAATGCATTGAAGGCTTTAGCTTCTGAGCTGGGGATGTCAGTGTGTGGCAGTCATTCGATGTTTTGCAGCTAGCTTTTTGGTGAAACCGCATGATTTTGCGCCAGGTGCGCAAACTTGGGATCAATGCATTGAAGCCTTTAGCTTCTGAGCTGGGGATGTCAGTGTGTGGCAGTCATTCGATGGTTTGCAGCTAGCTTTTTGGTGAAACCGCATGATTTTGCGCCAGGTGCGCAAACTTGGGATCAATGCATTGAAGGCTTTAGCTTCTGAGCTCGGGATGTCAGTGTGTGGTAGTCATTCGATGTTTTGCAGCTAGCTTGTGGTAAAACCGCATGATATTGCGCCAGGTGGCAAACTTGGGATCAATGCATTGAAGGCTTTAGCTTCTGAGCTGAGGATGTCAGTGTGTGGCAGTCATTCGATGGTTTGCAGCTAGCTTTTGGTAAAACCGCATGATATTGCGCCAGGTTTGCATCGAGTCAGGGCCCTGGGATGGGATCGATTACCTGTTGAGTGGTAGTACCTGTTCATATTACATAGCATGGTAGTTGGATTTTACCCTTCTATTTTTTGCCCTTCCACTCAAACCTCTTTGCATAATGCGACCTATGTCTTTTCAAGGAATGTCCTATGTCCTCTGATGGTGTCAGCTATGTGACCGTGATTACAGGCGCGCGGATGAATGGAGCAGAGGACTTGAAAGGTCGTTAATTGACTCTTTTCATGAAAGGCATAGTTTTACGTTCGTCGAGACTGAGATCCCAATCGGCAGTGTTCGGGATATCTTCAACACCACTTGTGATGCAATGTGGAAAAACTTGTTGCGTTCACAGAGATGCTGGACCTAAGGTCGTGTCCGTGGAGGTGCCCAGATAAAGATCAACCGCGGTAGTAGGTAGCCACTGATGTCAATTGAATTTGAAAATGAAGTGCATCAGCATGAGTCAACCAGAACTGTCTGAGACTTGTTGATGCACGCATCTTTGCTTGAGACATTCAGTTTCACCGTAGTGCATCCTGTCTCACCGTAGTGCATCGGCGTGCGTCAACACCTTTGTCAGCAGCTTAGTTATTTGATGTTTAACTTTGATTCTTGTATTGCAACCAGAACTGTCTGAGCATTGAATTTGAAAATGAAGTGCATCAGCATGAGTCAACCAGAACTGTCTGAGACTTGCTGATGCACGCATCTTTGCTTGAGACATTCAGTTTCACCGTAGTGCATCCTGTCTCACCATAGTGTATCGGCGTGGGTCAAGCAGAACGGTCTGAGACTCCATAGAAGAGCAATAAAGTTGCCGATTCCTTTTGCGCATATAGTTGTGCCGGGACATCGCTGAATGTGATCTGTCACAGTCATTAGTCATAGTCCTTGAATGCTTTGCGGGTCCGCATTGTTGGTCTGTGCAGCTAGGTTTGCATCGAGTCAGGGCCCCGGGATGGGATGGATTACCTGGATAAGCTGCTACCACAAAGAAACAAATCGATATATTTTATATTGAGATAGAGATAGAGATATGATATAAAGATGGATGTATGACTTTTAATATATAGAGATGGATGTATGAGTGTTAAGATAAGAGTTTCCATTCCAGTCACAGTCAGGAGTCAGGACCCTAAACCCATAAAGAACCAACTTCTATCATATTGTAATACTGTGCGTGTCCCAGCCCAGAAACGGTCGCTGCCTGCCAGGTCCGCCCGTTTATACTTTTTTTTTCAGGAGATGGCAAACCACCTTGGTTGGGGGGCCTCAAAGCACATAGCCCGCATGACATGTTTATACATGCTGGTTTCGAGGCACATGGAAATAGGACTTCGCCACCACCCCGTCGGATTGCTGAGGTCGCCACGACAACGATGACTTCGCTGTGACTACCTGGGCCGGCCTCTGTGTAAAAGCGTCTGTGTGTACAAGTGATTGTGTGTAAAAGCGCTTGTGTGTAAAGCCGTCTGTGTGTAAAAGCGTCTGTGTGTCAAAGTGTTTCTGCGTAAAAGTGTTTGTGTGTAAAAGCTTCTGTGTGTACAAGCGTCTGCGTGTAAAAGCGTCTGTGTGTAAAAGTGTTTGTGTGTAAAAGTGTTTGTGTGTAAAAGTGTTTGTGTGTAAAGTGCCTGTGTGTAAAGGCGTCTATGTGTAAAAGCTTCTGTGTGTCAAAGCGTTTGTGTGTAAAAGCAGCTCCTGTCTGTAAAAAGGTCTGTGTGTAAAAGTGTCTGTGTGTAAACATGTCTGTGTGTAAAAGTGTCCGTGTAAAAGCGTCTGTGTGTAAAAACATCTGTGTGTGAAAGCGTCTGTATGTAAAAGCTTCTGTGGGTAACAGCTTTGTGTGTAATAGCCTCTGTGTAAAAGCTTCTGTGTGTAAAAGCTTCTGTGTGTAAAAACTTTTGTGTGTAAAAGCGTCTGTGTGTAAAAGTGTTTGCGATGCAAACTATTGTCTTGCACTTCTCACTATTTTGTCTTGCTACTTCTCTTCTCGACTGCCTATAACACATCTTTCATATATTGTTTGTAAAATTGTGTCTCCATACTAACAAGAGAAGACCCTGCTCCTCTACGCTCTCGGGCCATCCGTCGTCTAGTTTTTGTTTTGTTGACTTGATGTTTTTTTAAGGTGTGGTGTTGTTACGAGATGGATTGTGTCCTAAAATTTGTATGCCTATTGCTAAAACCCCAACAAGAAACAAACGATTTGGAGTGTTTTCGAAATTTGAATGTTTTTGTTCCCATTTGTTGTCCCAAAAAAAGTCAGATATCTTTTTTCCTCGAGGAGATCCGGGGAGAACTCCAACTCCGCTTTCCGCGGATAACTTTCTTCCACGCCTTTAATACTTACATCCGCGGATAACTTACCGTGTCCTACCCCGTGGAGATTCGCAAAGAACTAGCAGCCTGCGGGCGCGCGTCAACTTCTGGAGACATTTCCAAAATTTCTGATGCGCCAGAGAGCATGATAAATGACTTGAGCCTTAATTTGTTAATTAATCATTGTATGCTATGATGCGTGCAACGCCTGTGGAACACATTGTACAAGTTACAAACACATAGTAAAAATCAACGTGTGAAATAAGCTAAGTCCCTTTGTAACTTTGCTTAACCCTCCAACATGCTAAGTCTGCTAAGTCACACAAAAAAGATACAAGTTACGAAGCCACTTAGCCACTTATCTTAGCACTTAGCCATAGCTAACTTACAGTACTGATTGTTATAATTAAATACCCTTAAAATTCGATAACTATGAAACGATCCTTCAGATACACCCAAGAACTAAAAGACTTCCAAACAGGACATGGTCTTCTCATGAATTTCAACAGAGTCAAATACACGAAACATGACTCCGACGAGCTGGTCGAACAAGAAAAAAGTGCCAGTTGTTTTATTTCAAGCATGTGAAGGTTGCTTTGTTCAAAGATCTTGGCAAGATAGTTACACAGTACGTTCACCCCCAGATTGTGAAATGCGCTACTGATTCCCGGATCTCCCATGGTCATCCATGAATGGGGCAAGCATCCTTAGACAAAATGGTGGCTTAAAATCTATATATTCATATATATTCTATACATTGAGAATCATTGAAATACAATATGTTGATATATTTTGGATATATTTTGGATGAAGATCCATAAGTCCCAGTCTGAGCTGCTAAGCTATTTTGATGACTCTGGCCCCCCCCCTTGGAGGCCCCCGCAAGCCGGGGCCCGACACGCCGCACGTAGCTCGGATTGGTTGGGCCCACTGAAGGGAGCGAAGGAGGGTGACAGGGGCGAGAACTCGTTCACCGTGCGCGGCGCGCTGGTTAGGCCTCCACAAAATTGGGGTGTCCAAGGCAATACCCATGTGACTGGGCACTGGGGTTGCCAATGGGGTTTCCCTAAAAATAGGGAAATGACCCCAAATCCAATGTTTATCATCATTTTGCCCATAAAACATAATATGTTATTTTTTTTACTGTAACCCCAAAATCATAGAACCATGTTTCCAAGATGATATAAATCAATATCAATCATATTTACCGTACCTCATATTTCCAAGTGTCCAACTTGTTTATGATCTATTTTGGGCTTGCTATAGGCTGTTGCTGCTCTCACAAACCTGCTCAGCGCCAAGTCGCGATGGATCAGCAACCTCGAAATTAGCTCAGTGCGAAGCCCCTCCCGCGGCAGACCCTGATCGCTGCACATCTGCCTGGCTGGGTGCCGCTGTTCCTGTTCCTGGAAAACCACCAACAATGGCACGGTTTTCACAAAAAAGTGCGTTCCTGCCTAAAGTTTTCATAGTTCATCCAATTCCAGAATGGTTCTTGTTGTTGTAGGAAGGCGGTATAGGTAGATGTTCGCACTCCATAAAAATCAACCCATATCCAAATTGACCCATGTCGGCATTGATCCAGAAATTCTCGTCAAACCCGGTATTGCGATGTAATTTTTAATGTGATGCAATGTGACAAATCCAAAACCACAAAGCATCCTATTTATGACTTACCAAAAAATGGGTCGAACTTCAAGAATTGGAGGGTTAAGGGCTCGCCGAATCAGAATGGCACTGGTTGTGATCCTGGGATGGTGCAAGTTGACCCATGGGACCCATGGCCCCCTGTTCGCGCCTCAACCTGTCTGGGCCCATGATCCTTAGGTGCAGGATATGCAAGAAATGCATCAGTTTAAGCAATGTTGTCTACTGAACCTGTTCATGAAATTCCATATCATTGGTCTATTAGTATGGGTTTGTGTGAAATAGGCTACCCCATTCAATCCTATAGCTTATAACCTCATGTTCCGCATATCAATATTGCCAAGTGGGGTATACTAATAATTTTCAATCACACGCGTTACACGTACCTGACAGTATATTGTTGGTTTTTTCCTACTGGATTTTGTATCTCAATGTGGGTTGCTAAGTATTGTTACTTTACCATATTACTATCCCAATGGTATCCTCAGTATATCCCCATAATTATCATTGGTATATTGTGGTATACTATTATGGCAAATTGAGCATGTTGGTACACAAATGTATATACCGCTACTAAAGCTCACAAAAATTGGAGATGTTCCATCTCAGTCTTGTTATCCCAACCATGTTAAAGCCTTAGTTTTGATGGATACGCTCTGGTAATTCAACACAGCCATGGGAAAATCAACATTTCGAATAGGAAAATCATCGAACTAACTGGGCCATTCATCTATACCACACTGGTGTAGCAAACTGTTAAATTACCGGTACATCACCTGTTCTCTCCCCATTCTATCTCCTATGTTTCATGCTTAAACCGCTAAACCCCTCTACTTTTGATGGATACCCTCTGATAATCAAACTTGGCTAGCTGGAAAATCGCCCGAACTAAAAGGCAGCTTACAGCGGGAACATCAACTATTTATATATATATATAATATATATATATTGTACATGAGAAAAAATCCTTTGTCCCCATAGTTGTCATTAAAGCACTACTTTATACTATTTTGGATGGCTAAATTTCTGTTTTTGGTATTAAATCTATTGTTTATCGTGAAATTCCAATTTCTGATGGCTAAAACCAGGTCAGATCGCCAATTTCGATGCGACATGTAGTCACCAATGTAGTCCCCAGTGTTGATTATATATATTGTAACCAGCTCAAAACCCCTGCAGAATGGTGCCCCCCAGTGATGTTTGTTGGTTCATAACCCCCATGAACCAGTTCGTTGTATCTACCATAAACCATAGAATTTAGCCACAGCCATATCTCAACTCGGCTCGGTATCTGAAGGGGGCCCCATCCTGTAGTTTTGCTGAAGATATGGGGGGTTCCTAAAATAGGGGTCCCCCTAAATCATCCATTTCTACAAGTTTTTCCAATATAAACCAACCATTTTGGGGTACCCCCATTGATGGAAACCTCATGAAACCTCCAGATCCACCGCCAAGAGGCCCCAGGTTCGCCGCCTCGTTCGCCAGCCCCGCGGCTTCGCCCAAGGACACGCGACTGGTGCGGCTGGCCAGCGAGACGCCACCGGGCGACGGGACCTCGGCCTTGGAGACACGGAAAAAAGTCCCTGGGAGTCGCGCTCCAAAATGGAGGTACAAATGGTAAAATCATTGGCAAATGATGGGAACATGATGGGAAACTGAAGCGAAAATGATAGGAAAAACATGGAAACACATTGAAAAATCATGGAACACAATGGACAATAAACGAAACGCAATGGAAATAACATGGGAAGATCATGGAAAATCCCAAGAACTTTTCATATCGAAACCAAGAACATCCCAGAAACGATTAGAAATTTAAATTCAATTTCGAAAATCAACAAGTTTGGGATTTGAAAAGCAGAAGAACATTCAGGAAGATTTGTTGTTGATTGCCTCAAAATGGCTGCTCCATCGGGAATGCTGTACTGGGGACATGAACGCCCCTCGTAGCATCCCGAAGAGCCAAGTGACTTCACGCGGCGGCTCAGATCTGCTTCGTGTGCGCGGAGGCATCGGGTGCGGCATCGGGGCCATTGGTGGTGATGGTGGGGGGGCTGTGGGCGGCGTGAACGGTGTGTCCTGAGCTTTGGATTTGATACATTGGGCAACATCAAACCAATGGAGGCAGCATGGGTTGGAAGGTGAGGTAATGGAGAAACCAAAAAGGACCTGTTTTTTAGTAGTCAACCCTCCATTCTTGGAGGTCAATGTGACCCATATTATACCCCAAAGATCTTCCATCATAATATGGATGGATACAGATGGGCACGTCCACTAAGCATCAGGTTTGGTTCAAAAACATTGTACTGGGGTGTGGTCATGGAGTCATTTGCTTTTTGGTTGCCAAGATGAGGGGTGCATCTTTGCAAAACATTTTCACTATGGCTTGCATTCCACATATATATATATGTATAAGTATAGGTACACATGTGTATAATATATATATATGTGTACACATATATGTATGCACACACACACTGGTCTTGAAAACTCATGGGATTGATAGCTGTGACATTCTTTCCAACACACATCTAAGAATTTAGCACCATCAAATCCTGTGGTTTATCATCATTTTTTACCTCCCATGTTTTGAGACGAACCCATGGCAATACATCCATGTTTGATGGTGAACTCCGAACTCCCCCCTTTGGCTGGAACCAACTCAGCACGTAGGTTGATCTAACCCCTTCCCCCTCATATCAAATATCCACCAAACAAAACTTCGGTTAAATATTGGATGTATACATATATGTATGTATATACTGTACTTATAATATGTTCATAGGTAGATAGATAGATGGACAGATAGATTGTTATAGATAGATTGTTATAGATAGATATAGGTAGATAAAGATAGAGATGGATAGAGATAGATAGATATAGATAGATATAGATAGATATAGAAAGATATATATATATAGATAGATAGATAGATA